TGGAGAAAATCCCTCCGTTGAGGCTCCCTCTTCCCAGGTGTGTCAAGTTGGCATCTATCACAACAGGGGACTTGGCCTCCTGTTTGAAAGGCTGCTCATTCAGTTACAGTGCTTTACTATCAAACAAGCTACCATGTAGCCATCTTCTCTATAACAGTCCCTTGCTGGCCACTAGCCCCACTGTAGGGCATTACAAGTGACCACTGTACCTATGCTTTGATTTCCCAGATACCTCCTCACTTCTCCCATTTTGATTGCGTCTTTAAAAATAGTGAAGGTCTTTGGGCCACCTTCCATACTTGCCATGTGTATCTAGGTTGAGTCTGGACAGCTTGGTAACCTGGGAATGTCCTACTGTGAGATTAAAGTAACTGTAGGAACACAGCCTGTTGGGAGTGTGCTGCCTCAAAGTTGAAGTCGTGTCACTTGCCTGCGGACTTGTGCTTCAGCTGCTGAGCCTTCAGGAAGTACATAGATCTTTTTCCAGAACAGTTCAGTTTGTACATGGTGGTGTTGGTGACTTCAGTTGTAACATAGGTTTGGGGCCCTGACCTCTCCTCTAGGTAAACAAGGAAATAGTTTCATTGTTTGAAGTCAGTCATTTTATGCTATTTTTTTTCTGTGGGACTTTTTTGTTTGTGGTTCTAGAGATTGATCCACAGTCTTGCTTATGCTAGGCAAGCTTTGTACTACTGAACTACATGCCAGCCCTGTGCTGAGGCGTCCTTGAACACTTCAGCAAAAGCCAGAAATGGAAGCAGAAGTGCTCTTCCTCCAGAAGCACTCACAGATCCCAAGTCATGTGCTTGGAGTAGGTTCCCTGGCTTTCTCTCTTGTCTCTTTTTTTGATCTTTCTGAGATACGGTCTCCCCTGTAGCCCCAGCTGGCCTGGAACTCACTGTTCAGACCAGGCTGGCCTTGAGGAAATCCTCCTGCCTCTGCCTCCTGAGTGCTGGGATTAAAGGTGTACTCCAGCACACCCGGCCCTATGAGTCTGTGGGGTATTTATGTGTGACCTTAGGAGAGTTATTTCCCTGAAATCCTCTTAAGTTGGCTTGTGAAAATGAACAGAAATTACACTCGTCTGTGAGTGTGCACAGCAGAATCATTGAGTGTTGCTTGTTCTGCCAGGTGCCCTTGTGCCAGAGACTATGTGCAAGACAGTGACCTTGACCAGGGAGGAGCGGGGAAGTGCAGGGTCTTGGTGTGGATTGTACCGCTAGTGTTCACATTCATCTGGTGCCCACACTGAGCCTCCTGGCAGGGAGAGCCTATGGCCAGAGCAGGCCCAGCATGTTATTGAAGGAATGATTGCTGGGGGACAGAAGGGAGAAAGAGAAGTTCTTTTCGGTGTGCGAAGCATCAGGTGACCAGCTGTTTTGTTTAAGGCCCATCCCGTGTCCTCCCTGCCATCAGTGGATACTTTTCCCCAGGTCGGGAGCCTATTTCCTGGGCTGCTTGGACCATACTTGGTCCCTGCTTGGGTCCTCTCTTAGCTTCTGAGAGCTGTGGGCGTGTCTAGTCATTGCCAAGTGAAATCCCAGGTGTGTAGAGGGTTGAATTTCAGGACGGGGTGCCTGGGTTGTGAAATGGAGCTGCCTGGATGCCCAGGAAGTCCTTCCCTCTACCTATTGAGTTCCTTTTCCTTCACTTCTCTGCAGTACAGTGGTTACTCATGCCCAAATCTTTCTGCTTGATTATTACAGAGACAGGTGCATTGGGAGAAAGCGTAGTAAGTGATTGTGCTGTTGTATATGTTGGGGATGGACATACATGTTGTCTGCCTAGGGGACAGACAATTGACAACAGCTGGGGCTGGAAAGATGGGAAGGAAAATGAGAGGAACCAGACACCTGTGTATTTGTTTCTTTCCAGGCTTGTAGCCACCTTGGACTTGTACACCAAGTCATAGCCTGGGGGCTTTGTCAAAAGGCATCTGTGGAGGAGAGTTGGAGTGGGGCCTAAGCCTTCATTTGTAAGGAGTTCCCACATGGTGATGGTAAAGCCAGGACCATGCACAGCTCCTCAGCAGGGATGGCAGTTTGGTTTCAGAGTGCCTGCCAAGTGTTCCCGTCAGTGCACTGGGTACAGGAGGGCCAAAACTTCCCTGGAGGAGGTATGTGGCTACTACTGTGAGGACACTGCCCTAACTGGGTGCATGGAGGACATCCTATTTATCCTTTCTGTTTTTCATAATCACTGGGCTGTACCAGATGTTGGAGCACTTATCTTTGGGATTTTCCTTTAGTGATGAGTCCCACCCATTATCACCAGATTTGGACTTAGTCTAAAGATTTGCAATAGGCATGTTTGGCTGATGAGTAACATTCTTAGTGTTGCTACTGGAATTGGACTGTAGGACTTGGGGATCAAGGCTTACCAACTACGAGCTAGAGTTTGGGAGGTATTTTCACTGATTTCACTGATACCATTCTTTAGTATCAGTGAAGTAACTTGGGTGGTGATCAGCCTTACCTACTTGGGCCATCTACTTTGCTAGATATTAACCAACCTGTGTAGCATGGCTAAGGGCCATTGTCAGGTACCTCCTTATGTCTAACTTGAGATCACTGCCTGGGCATTCCCATCCTGTTTTAATCTGCCCAGGGCAGAACTTGAGTGGACGTTGACTCTGATAAAACCTGGTTTCATTGAATACAGCTCTCACTGGCTGTTTGGAAGTCTCAGTGTAGCTGCCCTCAGGAAGCTCTGCTATGTTAATGAACTGAGTCTGTGGCTCCCCACTCCACCTCTAGAACCTGTCATATATTCCTCTGATAGTTCGCTTCTGGAATAAGCAGTTCCTTTAGTTTTTAAGCATGCTTACCTGTTTTGATATGCTTTTTTTCCCCTCCTCATTGACCACACCTTAAGAGTTGTTTTATTTCATTGTTCTGATTGTTTTTAAGCAAAATGTGAAATTTACCCCTTAGATGAAATAAATTATCATTTTGAACATTTGACATACAGCTTGAACATTTATTATTAAGTCAGTGTGACAGTGCTGGGAGTTGCTACAGAAGAGTCTAAAGGCCAGATGAGAGGTCTAGCTTAGGAGAAAAGCAGAGTAGGCCAGTCTTGTTTGTAGTCACTTGTCAGCTGGGGCCTCTGAAAAGCAAAAGGTCAAGTCAAGCCTTTGAAGTTGCCAGCCTTACCTGTGTCATCAGAAGAGGCTTTATCCACCATGGTAGTGCCAAAAGCACTCTGTTGTGATGGGGCTGAGAGAACACTAGCTGTGGACTTGGAAGATTGCATTTGAGTGTGGACTGAGCCCTTGAATGTACCCTCACGTCCTGGAGTCTTGCTTTCCTCACTTTCTTGGTGAGTGTTTATGATTGCCATGTTTGTGAGGAAATGCTTTGCAAAAGAATGTAGCCTTGCACCTGAGATTTCTGCCTCAGTTGGGGACAAGTTGGGTAAGGGCATACAGCTTGGTGGTAGTGTGCTCGTCTAGCAAACATGAAGCTTTGAGTTCTATTCCTATACCAAACAAAACTCCTAAGACCCCTGCTTGTCTGGCAGCATTCTGAATGCAAGTACAGTACTGGGTCCTTTGTGATGGTGCTTCAATGTCAGGTTTTTTTATACACTCAGGATAGCTATGAATTTCAGCACAGATCACCTCAGAGTTTGCACTAGTTCTCAGAATAGAGCTGTTGAAGATGAACCTGGTGTTCCAGCCCTCCTGAACTGCCATACACTGCTTCCTTTTCTGAAGGTAGGTGAGGAAGAGAGATTAGAAGCTTGAGAGTGAGGTCAGGGGAAGGAAACTTCCTGTTTTACCCAGAAGGTAAATTCAGCTCTACTGGGGATTGACTTACCTTTGGTCTCTTCCCAGAGGATGTCTTGAAGAAACTTCCCCAGGGCCTGGCCATGCTGCTGGTACTGAGCCCCCGATAACTTGATGCCAGTGTCGAAGGGGGTATTGAACTAGAAGGAAGGGTGGGAAGAACCCAAGGCCTCAGTCCTGCTAGTTCCCCTCTGTCCCCTGCCCCCCCGGAAGGTCTTGGGCTTTCAGGGTCTTCCTATGGATAGTCTGGCTGTGTTGGCTACCTGGGTGTCTGAGTGGTCTGTGAAGTCCTCTTAGAGCCAGAAGGGAGTGCTAGCTGGTCTGATACTCTCCCTGTCCTTGTGGTAGAAGCTCAGAGAGGCTGAATGACCTGCCTGTGGCCACACAGAAGGATGGTGACCAGGGATTTAGAAAGCAGGATTCTGAAGTCTGCCTAGCTCCAAGTCTGCCTGGATTGAGCCTGGGCTCCTATCAGGCTGTAGGGTGCTGAGATGATTGATGATCCTCAACAGGAGCTAGCCTGTTCATGTGTAGAGTTTGTTTCAGCCTCCAGAAAGTGAATGGGGAGTGCTGTGAATGGAGAGTGCTATGTTTGGTTTTTGGGGACCTGTGGCCTTCAGTAGCAATGGTTTTTCTTAACACCCTATGGTCAGCACAGGCTGATTAAATCACCTTACCATCATGTAAGAAAACTGCATACACTCATCAGGGGAGCTGCTTAAGCTCATCTTTTTAGTGGGGTGGAGGTACTTGTTCTCAAAAGTGTGTTACCTGTGACCTATTTGGGGGAGGAAAACCTTTGAGGAGAGGTAGGGGGACTGAGATTAAGGGGGTAGAGGCCTACCCAGGATGGGAGGGCAGGCAGAGGTCCTATTCCAGGCCCAGTATGCTGCAGCCCCCCCAACCCTACTTGTGCCAGCACCTTCCAGGCAGACCAGATGTCTGGTTCCCATTGAATTTAAATCATAGAACTAGGAAATGTTAATGCTGGCTCTGTGCTGGGACCTCTTCCCTAAAAGAGCTAAGGCGGGGCTCTTGTGGCTGGGTTGACCAACACTGCAGGAGGGGGAGTGCTGGTGTCTTATGGACTGTGCTCATGCCCTGCTGTTAGCTTAGGAGTCTTGGGAGTCAGGGGAGTTGGTTTTAGGGACTACTTTCTGTGGAGCATAGATCTGAGAACACTTTTAGGCTCCAGAGAGGATCAGAGAGCAGGGGTTTGAGGAGCTTGGGGTTGGCATTTGTCCTTGACGAGAGATGGCTGGGGGCAGGACTGTAGCAAGCCCTGTCATTGGGACCTATCTCTGCCTCCACTGGCTGTGGTGTCCAGGGCAAATGAGTTCACTCTGAATTTCTGTTTCCTACCTACAAAGTTTGGCTAATGATGCCAGCCTTGCTTACCTTACAGGATTTTGTAGAAAGTAAATGATCCATAAGGGTAGAACAGGACTGGGGATATGGCACCTGGCAGAGTGCTTGCCTAGCAAGTGTGTGAGACCCTGGGTTGTGCCCCCTGCCCCCCAAATAGATCAGGGTCACAGTGTTAAAAAGTTAAGTCGCTGCATGCAGGAACACTACAGTGACTGGCACTGCTGGGTGTTCTCTCTAGACACCTAACTGCTTGTAAATATAATATTGGACCCCAGCAACCTTTGGCCATAGTTCCAGGCACCCTGGTGCCCTTTTACTCCCTTCTCCCAATCCTTGAGCAGTCTCTAGTTTTTCGTTACCCTATGCAAAATTTGACAGAGCAAAAATGACTCCATAGGCCCTGGGTGTGGGCTGGTCAGCCTGGGCTAGCAGCCCACTTGCTTTCTCCAGACTTGTCCCAAATCCTCACCACCAGGCACAGGCCTAAGAAGCTCTTGGGACAAATAGAAGGCTTCCTGTTGTATCCCCATCCGTGTGTTCTGGTTGTTTGTGATCACCTAGAATCTAATGCCCATGGCTGCTCATTTGCCTTCCTCATAGCAAAGGTACTTGTAGACATTTTGTTCTTGGCACAGAGGCCTCAAGCCCTATGTAGAACCTTTATGCTGGACTATAATCCATGAGTAGCTCAAGCAGGCCACGTTTGGCCACCCTGCCCTCCCACGGTCCTTTACTGCCACAAATGCATACTGGTGCCTGGATACCAACCCTGATCTCCAGCTCCTCCTCTGCCTCTTCTGCCTGTCCTTTGCCCTCTGGGTGGAGCCAGCCTTCCAGAGCTCGTGGCTGCAATTTGGCTGGTGGCTTCTTAGACTCCTTTCTCTGCTAGAAATAAAAGGGGGTCTTTATTTTTCATAATTTTAACTCACAGGTTTTTTCAGACAGTTCTCATCATGTAGCTCAGCCCCTTGAACTTGTGACTCCTCCATCTCCCAAGGGCTGGGATTGCAGGCTTGCATCACCATGCCCAGATGAGATTTTAGACTCTTAATTCCACAGAGTTGGGTCAAACCTAGACGCCTTCTTCATGCTGGGAGAAGTTAAAGCCCAGAGAGCTGGAGCCACTGCTGTTGGTCATGGGGCTGGCACAGACCTCTTGGTCAGGATAGATGTGGGGTTTAGGGAGCTGGGTTTACCTGGGCTTTCTGATGCTCGGGGCTCAGGAAGCTGGAACCTGCCATGGCCACATCCATCCAGAGCATGCTGAGGAGTAGGAAGCTGCAGATGGTCCCCGCAGAGAGCATGGCCTTGTCGGGGAGGCGGGGGACAGATGACTGGGGAGAGAGGGTCTCCTGGAGCATGCCTCACCTCTGTAATGTGCCTTAGAACTGACTTAGGTTTGAAGCCTTGCAAGCATCTGGAGGGGGCGGGATGACCTGGAGCGGGTCCTGCTGAGTGAGATGGACCTCTTCTGTCCCTGACTCCCCATGATGGGAGAGCTGAAAGTCTGCACTCTGCCTATTATACACTGCTGAGACACACTGAACAGCAGAGCTTGATGTGCTGGAGGGCGGAGGTGTTCATTCCAGCATCAGTTGTCCCAAGCCCTGGGGAACTTAGTGATGGAGCTGACTAGCTGTTAAAGCCAGTTTTGTTTTGCAAGCCAGGCTGACCTAGGTTGTCCATTGCCTCATTTGCTGACACCCAGAAGTAACTTAAACCGCTGTAAGCATACCCACATCCATATGCACCAAGCAGAGAGCACTTACCTAGGATGTCTAGTAGATCTGGTGCCTGCTGGGTGGCTGTTCCTTATATTGGAAGCCTCATGTTTGTTCAGTGACCTCATTTCTGAGGTGGCCTAGTTTGTGTGGGCTGCACCGCGTTTCTTGGAACTAAAAATGCCTCTGTCCCCAGGATAGAAATCAACAGTGGAAGTCAGGTTTCCTGAGAGGTGCCCAGTTGGCTTTGGGTTGTCCCTGTGCTATCCATGTGGGCCTGGCCCTGGTGGAGGGGTGGCAGGTAAGGAGCTCTGAGGTCTGGCTGTGCTGCTGTGCTAATCTTGGCTTGTCCCCTTTCTCCCATGTGAGATGAGGGTGTTGTTACCAGGAGAGCTCCAAATCTTGTCCAGCTCTGCCCTGACATTGAGGCTGATGTAGTGTCTACACACTCTGGGCACTTAGGGTCCTGCTTCTGGAGTGTTCCCTAAGATGGGTTGAGCTGTGTGCTTGTCTGCCCCAAGGAGCAGGTGTGGGAGAAACTGCACCTTGGGGTCGTGTATGTTTTATCTTTTGTGGGGTAAAAGGTGTCTGCTTGGGGTTTTTTTGTTTTGTTTTGTTTTGCAGTGCTGGGGTATACTTGGTAGGCATTTTCCACTGAGCCATACCCTAGCCCAGTCTGGTGTTTCTAGCCTGACTTGCCTCTGTCCTTCAGCAGTTGTCAAAACCCTAGCACAGGGGCTGGAGAGATGGCTCAGCAGTTAAGAGCACTGACTGCTCTTGCTGAGGATCCGGGTTCAATTCTCAGCACCCACATGGTGGCTACGAACCATCCTAAACTCCAGTTCCAGGGGAATCTGAAGCCCTCTTCTGACCTCCATGGCATTGCAGGGCACAGGTGCACTCACATACATGCAGGCAATACACTCAAACACATAAAATAAAAATAATAAAAATATTTTTTAAAAAGTTAAAAAAGTTAAAACAAAAAACCCTAGCACAGGGGATGCCCATTGTGGAGGAGCAGATGAGATGGGTCTGTTGGTAGGAGGCCTGTAGCCTGGCACTGGCAGTCCTTGGGAGGGGCTTGTCCTGCAAAGATGCCTGCTCCCTGCTAGTCCTTTGAGGACTAAACGTCAGGGTGAGAGTAAAAGCACTTTACAACAGGTAAAGTGGCCTGTAGGAGGCAGCTGTGTTGAACCATGTCCATGTCAGGGTCACACATATGCCAGAGTCTATTGCCCTAGGACTTGGCTGCTTCCTGGAGGGCTTCATGGAGCTGGATGCCTACCTAAGATGCTACTAAGAAAAACCGAACATCCCGAGGGCCCAAGCCTATGGATGGCATGTAGGTACTTGACTTCTACTGCAGTGTTCTCTGACCTGGCTCTGCTGCCATAGTGACAGTGGCAGTGATTGGGCTACTTCAGGTAGGTGGGATGAGGCAGGATGTTCAGTTGGGGGGAGGCGTTGATAGTAGAACAGTTGATTTCAGGATTTGTTAACAATGTTATCAACTAGGCAATCTTGAGGTTGGGCCCTTGTGGGAACTCTAGGGACAGGTGAGACATAGGCTGGGCTTCACCTCCTGTGAGAAACATCCTGTCTGCAAAGAGTGGCTGAAATCCTATGTTTAGACTCAGCCCAACATGAGTTCTCACCAGGTACCTTCACAGCCATGCCACCTAGCTGAGCTTAGCCTTTTGCTTCAGGGCCCAGAACAGTTGAAGATGGAGATGGTAGGGAGACTCCTGCAGCCCTCCAGTCTCTGAGGACAGAATGCCTGTCCATGGTGACCAGGTACCTGCTGAGACATGAGGTTTGCCCACTTGGCCCCTGGTGGCTTCAGGAGGCAGGAACTGCTGATGTTGATTGTAGATAAGGCCTTGAGCAAGCAAATACACATAGCTGCTGCTTATCTTGGGAACAAAGAGGTCACCTGGAGCTGGAACCCACTAGCCCTAGCCACATACCGTGGAGTCCAGAGTGGAGGCTGATGGGGAGGAAGGTCTGATGACATGGAGTGTGGAGGGAGAAGGCAACAAGGAAGTACCTTACCACGTATCCACAGCTGTGGAAGGGAGCAGGGGCTGGAAAATGGATCCAATCCTAGCAATAGGAGCTCAGGGGAGACCATGTTACTTGGAAAAGGACAGATAGTCCATCCCAACACCTCCCACTTCCCCTTTGGATAGTGACCAAAACCAGTATGGCAGCTCCAAGGGTGGGAGCCAGGATGTTCTCTCCTGGAAGCAGGTGTCCGGCTGTCCCTGGAGGCCTGCTGTATGGCTGTCCTCAGAGGGCCAACTCTGGGAAATGGGGCTGAGAACAGATTATTCATGTATCACTGACTTCCTCTGTACTATTGGGTGGTTTTAGCAAGTGCACTGGCTTAAGTTTTGTTTTGTATTTTTAATCAACTTAGCTAACATTCATGTCTGTGAGACTGATTTGGGTTATAAAAGTTTTGCTTTGCTTGGTGCTTTTTGGTGGCCTCCCGTTTCTCCCTGTTTTGGCTCCTAGATCAGCATTTTTCAGTAGAAATGTGATGCAGCCCTCACACAGCTTCATATGTACTGAAAGAGTCTCCCAAGAATCACGCTGGAAAGTGAAAAAAAAGAAAGCTGGTTATGGTGGAATGGTACTCTCAGCTTCTTAGGACGCTGAGGCAGGAGGATTACAGTCTTTTATTTTGTTTTCGCTTTTTTGAGATAGGGCCTTCCTGTAACCCCAGCTGGCCTGCAACTCACAGAGATCCACCTGCCTCTGCCTCCCAACTGCTGGGATTAAAGGTGTGCACCACTACGCCCAGCAAGAATTACAGGTCTTAAACCAGTCTGGGCAATTTAGTAAAACTTTATTGGGGGTGGGGAGGGGAGAAAAGAAAAATCTAGCCATAGTGGCTCATACTTGTAATCTAGAGGCTGAGGCAGGAGGATTGCCACAAGTTTGAGGCCAGCCTGGGTTATAGTGAGTTCCAGGGCAGTCTGGGATACAGTGTGAGATGAGACACTATCAAAGCAACTAACCAAATAAATACAAAAACAAAATGGGTGAAATCAATTTATTTTTTTATTTTTTTATTTTTTTTGTCTTTTTGAGACAGCGTGTCCCTGTAGCCCCAGCTGGCCTGGAACTCACTCTATAGACCAGAGTGGACTTGAACTGAGATCCACCTGCCTGTGCCTCCTGAGTGCTGGGACTAAAGCCATGTGCCACCATGCCTGGCTAAGAGTGAAATAAATTTTAATGTATTATTATGTGTGTTTTGCCTGCATGTATGTGTGCAGTGCCTGTGGAGGCCAGAAGAGGGTGTTGGATTCCTTGGAAATGGAGTTTCAGATGGTTGTCAGCCACCATGTAGGTGCTGGGAATCAAACCCAGGTCCTCTGCAAGAGCAGTCAGTGCTCTTGACCTCTGAGCCATCTCTCCACCCCCCCCCCTTTTTTTAAAGACCTATCAAGTCTAATCTGTTTCCCAAGTGCTCTTGGGTATGGGTCTATCCCTTGGAGTTTGGTCAACTTACCAGGTGGTGTCATACTAGTATGGAAAACTGACTCTCCCCTCTCCTTGCGTCTATCAATTGCTAATAGGTCCTCAGCTAGAGCTAAGGCTTCCGGCTTGGGAATAAGAATGTGCTCCATGCTGCCCAACTGTTTTTCTATTTTGCTTTTTGAGACAGGACCTTCCTGTAGCCCCAGCTGGCCTAGAACTATGTAATAGGCTGGCCTCAGTCTCAGAGATCTGTCTGCCTCTGCCTCCTGAGTAAAAGGCATGCACAACTACTCCCATCATTAAGTCTGATCTTTTTTTAAAATTAATTTTATGTGTTTTGTTTACATATATGTAAATGAACCATGTATGTGCAATGCCTGTGGAGGCCAGAAGGTGTGAGCCCCTGGAACTGACAGTAGCCACCATGTGGGTGCTGGAAACTGAACCTGGGTCTATGTGGTATAAGCAATCTTCCTGCTTTAGCTGGGATTCTGGCATGTGCCACTATGGGGCTGGTTGTTTTTGTTTTGGTTGGAGGAACAGGGACAGTTCTTGCTGTTTTGTTCAGGTTGGTTTGAACTTCTGAGCTCATTTGAAACTCCTGTTTTAGCCTTGCCTGAGGACTATTGATGCATGTCATCATACCTGGCTACATAGCTCAATTGTGTCTGTGTAGGCCAGAAATTGAAAGCAGGGTCTGTCTACCCTTTTTTTTTTTTTTTTTTTTTTTGAGTCAGGCTCTTTCTGTAATCTCAGCTGGCTTGGCACTCTACATAGACAAGGTTGGTTGGCCTAGATCTCAGGGAGCCACCTGCCTTTGCTTGGGATTAAAGGTGTGCACCACTACACCCAGCTCCACCTTATTTTTTGACAAGTTCTTGATTCAGTGAGACCTGACTAATTTGCCTAGACTGGCCAGTAAGACCCAGGAATACTATCTCCATCTCCCTAGTGCTGGGATTATGTGGGTTTTTCATGTGGCACCTGGCTTTTTATATGGCCTCTGGGAAAAACTCAGGTTCTTATTCTTGCATGACAAGCAGTTTACTGAGCTGTCTTCCCCAGCCCAATTATTTTTTGAACCTGGGCTTAAACTCCTTTTCTTCCTAGCACCACCCAAATGCTGGGATTATAGGTGTGTACCACCATTAGATCTTGAATATTAGCCAAAGATTACTTGTTTGCCAGTTTTTGGTGCTAGTGGGAGGTGGGATCTAGTGGAAAGACATGAGGCCACTTTTCTCTCCTTGTTTCTGACTGCCATGAGGTAAACAGGCCTCCTCTGCCACATATGCCCACCATGATATAACTGCCACAGGCCTGAAGCAAAAGGCCCAAGCAATCATGGAGTAAGCACCTGAAACTCTTAGTTCCTTTTATTTCAGGTATTTGAGTAGCAGAAAGCTAGTAGGTCTTTATCTCACCTTCATTTTAAAGATAACTTAAGTAGGTACAGAATTCTACACTGAGCTTTCTTTTGGTGGAAATCTTTATGGTTTGCGTGATTTCTGATAAAAAGCTGGTTGCTATTCTTTTTCTCTGTGTATAAATCATGTCTCTTTAGTCTAAGGCCATGCAGCCTTGAATGTGCTGGATCTCATCTATAATATGATATGTCTTTTTTTTCAGGGTGCTTTCTACTTTGTGATTTTAGCAATTTATTTTATATATACATATATATAGGTCTTTTTGACAGGGTCTCCCTGTAGCTCCAGGTGGTCTGGAACTCACTCTGTAGACCAAACTGGCCTTGAACTCAGAGATCCACCTACCTTTGCCTCCTGAGTGCTGGGATTAAAAGAGTGTGCCACCATGCCTAGCTAGCAATTTTATTATGAGGTTTGTATGTGAACTTTAGTTTTTCTTTTGCTTGGGGCTGTCGGATTATTTTAATCGAGCATGGAACAGACTTTGGATCTCTTCAGATGTTTTTTCCTGTATGTTTCCTTTCCCTATCTCCCCAGGTCTCTGACTGTACGCAGGTCAAACCAAATGGTATTCTCACAGGTCACGGTCCCTTGGTTCTCAGTTCCCTTTTGTCTGTACTTGTTTTCTTCTAATGAGTCTTAAAATCCACACATCTCTCTTACTTGCTATCTGGCCTGCTCACTCCTGGTAGGTTTTTTTTTTTTTCTTTTAAAAATTTTCTCAATATGTTCATTTTACTTTATACTCTTGAATATGTAACAGCTGTTTTAAGGTCCTTAGCTAATTCCATGGTCTCTCACTTCCAGGTTCTACATTTACCACAGAGCCACACTCTAGTCAAGTATCTTTTTTCTCTCAGTTAAAAGTCAGATCTTTTAGGCCAGGTGTCGTGGTGCACGCCTTTAATCCCAGCACTCAGGAGGCAGAGGCAGGTGGATCGTTGTGAGTTCAAGGCCAGCCTGGTCTACATAGTGAGTCCAGGTCTGCTGAGACTACAAGGAGACCCTGTCTCAAAAAGACCAAAAAAAAAAAAAAAAGTCATATATTTTTTGCATACCTATTAGGTTTTTAGACAGGGTTTGCCTGCAGCCCCAGCTGGTCTGGAATTCAACATGTAGACCAGTCTGGCCTCATAGAGATCTGCCTGTCTCTGCCTCCTGAGTGCTGGGATTAAAGATGAGCACCTCCATGCCTGGCAATACGCCTATTATTTTTAACATGGATGTTGCATATTCTGGTGTTTGGATTGTCAAGTGCTGGAGTTTGTTATATTCTTTTAGAGTGTTAGACATATCCCAGCACTCTGGAGGCAGAAGAAGGCAGATCTCTGAGTTCAAGGCCAGCCTGGTCTACATAGTGAGTTCCAGGCCACCTGGGCCTATAGGGAGACCTTGTCTCAAAAAGACTTTAAAAAAAGTGTTACTTTCTCACAGTAAATCTACCAGTGATTATTTGGATCTTTGTTAAGGCTGCTTGACTTTAAGAGCAAACCATAAAGTTAATTTAAGGTGTACTATTAAGGTATACTAGTTGGTTGTTTGAGACAGGATTTCATTCTCGAACTAACTCTGTGGACCAGGCTCACCTTGAATTTGTGGTGATCCTCCTGCCTCTGTCTCCCAAGTGCTGGCATTATAGGTGTGTATCACCAGGCTGGGCTAAGGTATCTCAGAACTTTCTCCAGTGTTGTGATATGAAGTTGTTCATTCCAGTTGTAGAGACAGACCATTCTCTGTGAGCTCCAAAGATTGTTTGGCCTGTCGCTTTCTGGCCATGTAATTATAAGCTGTTAGGTTCATAATTTCATCTGCTGTACCCCTTGAGCTGCATAGTATCTCAACTGATCCTTGGAGGCATAAGCTACAAAGAACACTCGGGTACTGTGTGATGCAGCCTAGTTCCTGCTTAGGATTCCTTGAGTAGTAAGCATCACAAGAAGGCCAGGCCTGTTCTTATAGAGCTTACTGAGGAAGGCAGACCCAAGCTTACAGCTGAGCAGAATTCTGTGCAGTTTGTATGAGCTGAGAAGCACCTGGGAAAATTCTTTCCAGCCTTCCTTTTCTCCCATCAGTCCTGGAAAAAAAGGAAGCTGTGGCTTTCATGTAGTTTACCAAAGGCTTGGGTTCTGTGGAGTGACAGGAGGCTATGGTGGGTGGGTCCTGGTGTCTCCTCACGTCATAGCTCCACTTTTTTCTGTTTATGTATTATGGGAAAAATAACAGGTTTGGCTCATGAGATGGACTGAGTAGGAGAACATGGCAGAGCTTCCCTGCTCTGCTGTGTCACCTAAGGTGAATGGCTGGAGCTTCTGTCTTGGTATTCATGTGAAGGTTTGGTGTGAACGCTGTCCTACACTGTAGCTGAGAAATACCTCTCTGCTTCTGTAGTGGAGGTGGAGAGAGCTTGAGGGTAAAGTGGGACAGAACTCCAACCCTAGCTTTTCTACTTGGCAGTGGTGGGCAGCTCTGGGCAAGTCCTGTACTTTCTCTGCCATGTTGCTTACCTGAGATATAGTGTGCAGCTTGTGGTAGGTTTCAGTAAACAGTAGCTGCTGCTGTGACTGCTGGTTCAGGTGAGAGCTCCAGAACCTCTGCTGAGAGGAGGTAGGTACTTGGCTCAGGATCAGTTAGGACCAAAACTATGGTCCCCCATCATAGCCCTGTGTTGTAGTGCTTGGGGCTGAGTTACTATTGCTTTTGTGGCATCTTGTGGGTCACCCGTATGCATATGTTAGCATCTTGCACCCCTTCTCTAGGGCAGTGTCATCAGTCCCATCCTATGGAGTAGGTGTACCCAGATAATACCATCTTATTGCTGCAGGCCTGGACTCAAGTTCCTGCTATAGTGCTGGTTGGGACCTGAAACATGACTCAATGGTGCTCACACCAGCCTGAGTTGGGTGGATCTGTTGTAGTGGGATAATGCAGTAAGGACTATAAGTAATATTTTATTAGCTTGGATACAGCCTGAACCAAAAGGTAGGTAAAAATGGCCAAAAATATTATAATAGTCATTTGTCATTTCTTCCTAACACGAATGCTTTCAGGTGGACAGTATATTACAAACCATAGGGACCAGTTAGGCAGGTGAGCACCCGTTGCTGGCATCTGTGAGCACTCCTGGGTGTGAAATCTTGGTGGAGCTGAGACTTCTTCCTAGGTGTTTGGTCGTTGTCCCAGAAATATGAAGGCCTTGTGCTGTCACTGCTCATTCTGTTGGCCCTCTGAGACAGAGGCTGACACAGAACCCTGGCCCTTGTTGACATCACTGATGCATACCCACTGTCCGTCCACTGACTCCTTCCACAGGGTCACCTGCAAGTCAGAGCACACAGTCACAGGTCTGTGCCCTGTTCTTTCTGCTCTCTAGTCCCATCCTCTGTTATGGAAACCAGCACTTACCTTTCCCCAAAAATCAGGTAAAGGAATAAAAACCAATTAAAAAAACAAAGAAGGACTAGCAGCCATAAGGGGGATGCAAACACAGGACATGGCTTTAACCAGAGTGACAATGAGAGAGGGAGGATGTAAGCAGCCAAGCCATTTGGGGTATGACAAGGTTTTAGGCAGTAACCAACTGATGGAGGAGCTCCAGGATGGGACCACGCCATCTGTATCATCAAGTTTAACGGCACAGGTTAGCCAGGACACAAATGCTATGCGAGGTGTACACAGTCAACAGTTGAAAAGGTCAATCCCTGGAGAGAAGCTGGGAGACTGCATTCTAACAAATCCTACTCTGCCTTAGGGATAGGTCACCATCACCCTCTGCAAATGAGAACCCTATCCTGTGGTTCCTCAGAGCTAAATGCATTGCCTTGTACAGCTCATCTCTAGAACCTGGCTTATGAACTGGAATCTATGCCTAGCATGGGCTCCCTAGGAACCCCATTCTATCTCTATGAATGTGACTAGGAACCTCACAGAAACAGGATCCTAACTTGACACTGAAAAAGAAGCTTAGAAAGGAGGCAGGCAGAGCCATAAAGTGCCTCAAGAATGGCACTGGACCAAGTGTGAGGTCCTTGGTGCCATTAAACCAAACATCAGGTCCTGAGTCTGGTACGCAAAAGGATGACTGTCCTTTGAGATAAGGCCTGCAAGTCTCTTCTTGAACCACCGAAGATCAAAAAAGGTGACCTGCAGAGGGTCTTGAAGAGATGCTTGTCTAGTCACATTTAGAGCTCCAGTGAACACTCAAAAAAGGGCAAGCACTGAGCCATTCGTATAGCCAGAAAGTAGAGTTGGGGGTGGGGGTATGTGATAAAGGTAATCCTATGCATATTTTACCAGTTATACACAGAAAGCAAGCTCCAGAAGAGACAAAGTGCCCCACCCCTACCATCTCCCCAGGGGACTGTGCTCACTTAACAGTTAGGGGGCCTTGAAGTGGGATGCTCTCTGCTTTTCTTAACATACCCTGTGCTGGTCTTTCCAGTGGCTACTTGGGCTCAAAACAGAAGAGGGTGAGACACACAAGGTGGTAAGAAAGCCTGTGAACAGGCTTTGAGCACTATCCTAGAGAGAGTGCCATTCTCTCCTTGTAGAGCTGGTTAATCATCATAAAGATGAGGTGCTGGATGACTAGCACTTAGCTTGCACTGGTTCTGCTACCTTGTAGCTTGTGACCTCTACATAACTCAACTCCTGTGTGACGGGAAGCAGTACCTCAGAGGTCTGAGAGACTGAAAGATATAATTTAGAACTGTCTTCATCTATGACTAGGTCAAGGGAAAGACTGTCAGGGCCTTGTATGCTTGGCTCCTGGAAATGACATGTACCTTATTGTCTCCACCAGACACAGCCAGGATGTTGGCGGTAATGGACCAGCTCACGTGCCACACAACATCATTGAACTTGTGCAGCAGCTTGGGTGACCACATGTTGCTTGAGGTATCATCACAGGTCCAAATGAATACTCGACCATCCTAGAAAGACACATAGTAGGAGATGGGGGAGCAGTGTCTTCAGCACCCCTGCTTCTGACCCTTCTGCAGCTGAACACATCTGATAGCAGGTCAGGGGCTCAGGATGCCCATGGTTTCAGGGCTGAACTGGGCAATGTCATCTGATAAGTCACTGGGATTTTCCTCCTGCCTGCCAACTCATTTTCCTCTGACTTTCTCGTCTGAACAGGGACAGCCATCTTTAAATCAACTCAGAGAAGGGGACCAGAAAAGTGAACAAATAGCAAATAGTCTTGGTGTGTGAGTCTAAGGCCTTAGAACACACAGCACCGCATCTGGGCACCCTCCTTCCCCTATAGGGGTCAGGAGGGGCCCTGACCCTGAACTTGGCTCCATACTGGCAGCTAGTTCTCAAGATACTTCTGACCTACCCACTTCACTGCATGCTGACCTGGTCTCTGCTTAAGTCTAAAGATGCCCCCCTCTCCCCGCCCTCTTCAAAAGTATTTTCCTACTAGGCAGACCAGAAGGGGGACCAGGGCTCACTCAAACCAAGGACATGGGATGTTTTCAGGGAGTGGGGTGGGGCTGACCTGTGAACAGCTGGCAATGGTGCTGGTGGGTAGGCCAATGGAGGGGGCCCAGGCCACATCTCGAACCCAGTCGCTGTGTGCCTCTAGCTTCTGCTCCTCCTTCCACTGGCCATCCTCCTCTTCCCTACAAAGGAAACCAGGGGGATGCAGTGGGGAGCTGGCAGGCACCCCATCCTGGGCAGAGATTCCACCTGTCCATTTCTATTCAATAAGCGTATGGAATTCTACTCAGCATAGAATTGTCCAGAAAGTCTCCAAGAAATGCTTTCTTCTTTAGCTCCAAAGTTGGGAATTAGGAAATAGTAAAAGTACTTGGAAGAGAGTAAGGGGCTGTGTTTTAGAAAGTATGTCTTAACAGACTGGAAACAATATTTATTGTAGGAGGGGAAAGGTGGCCTTGCTTCTTATAGACTGTGGCTGATCAATGACAGGAAGGGGAGAAGTATCCCTTTGAAGAGAAGTCCACACAACCCACTGACCTCCACAGCTTGATGAGGTTGTCACAGCCACCTGATGCAAACTTCTTGATGTAGTTGGGTTTCTGCCCAGATGGCTGGTCTATGAGGCTCCCGGGTATAACAGCAGGGGCCCAGCTGACAGCATTGCAGCCAATCTGCAGAGGGGAACACAAGGTGAGAGTGTCTTATACAGCAGTGGAAAACTGTTCACAGACCCAAGCCTGCTGGTCATTTCCCTCCAGTTCTCAGGACTGGATTATGTCAGGCAGCAAATATGATATGCAACAGTTAACCACTGGCATGTTCCTGTAACACCAGCATGTTGGGGTAGGGCAAGGTGTGTGGGAAGTATGGGGACCCAGTACAAGCAGGCCCCTTAAGCTCACTGGACAACCAGCTCAGCTAAAATCCATGAGCTTCACGTTCAGTAAGAGACCCTATCTCAAAAAATATAACCAGGAAGACAATGTTGGGCTTCCACATGGACCTTGGGCTTCCACATACCTGCACTAACAAGTACACACACATAGAGTAGGAATGAACCTTGAAGACAAACCTATTAGACTAAGAGTAGATTTCTCAGCAAAACCCCTAAGGGCCTGAAGGGCATAGACTGATAATGTATTTCAAGTCCTGAAGAAAATAACAGGTCACATTCCCGAGTCAAAGGAGAAACTGCTGAGCATAATGAAAGGGAATCCTGATTTGTGGGGTCTCTCCCTTTCCTCGTGGGTCGTTGGCCACTGGTCCACGAGGACAAAGGGAGCAGAAGTGATGAACAGGGTCAGGGACGGCCAGTGAACACTGACAGAAGAAAGCCCTTCTGGGGAAGCAGGTTCAGTGATACAAACAGCTTCAGACTCAGTGAAACAGCTCCGTTTATTCAGTGGGGGTTAGGAAAAATACAGTGTGGAGGCAGCAGCCAATGCTACAGCTGATAGGTGCTCATAGTATGCTTTATTTACATGTGGCAGTGGGCTCCTATCATCCGACTACCAGGCAATGCCTGATTATCATATAGAAAAAACCTGGGGGTAGTTTTATTGCAGGTAACTATGCCAAAGGTTATGTTTTAAATGAGGCCAAGCATCCGTGCTTGGCGGCACTTTCCAGGTAAGTCACGCAGGAAGCCCCTGCTGAGAAAGGAGCCAACTTTAACAGCAGGGTTCCCCAACACTGATTACCAGACCACCCTTGTGGATATTAGAGTCCTGAACCAGAAGTGGAAGAAAGATTAGTGTCGGAGCACATGAAAGAATGAATCCCACTAGAAAGAGATATGCAAATGAGAAACAGACTCAGACATGAGTACACTGAATCATCAAAGCACAAGGTGCTGGCAAACCCTGCATAAAACAAACATCATCTTTCACTACTCTGAGTGTCTAAGTGTGGTTTACTTAATTTGTATGTGCATGTGTGGGGGAGGGTCTGTTATGTAGTCCAGGCTGCCCTGAACTTGCCATATTCCTGCCTCAGTTTCTCAGTGTAAATGATCTTAAGTCACCAATTAAAAGACAGACTGGGGCTTTAGAGATGGCTCCATTGATAACGTGCTTGCTGCCATGCAAGTATGAAGACCTGAGTTTGGAACCCCCTGGAACCTTATGTAAAAAGTCAGGTATGGTGATGCTCACTTGTAATTCCAGCACTAGGGGAGCAGAGACAGAAGGATCCCTGGAGCTTGATGGTCAGATAGTCTTGCCAAATCAGTGAGCTTCAGGTTCAGTGAGACCCTGTCTCAAAAAGTAAGGCAGACAGTGACAGAGGAAGACACCAGATATTGACTTCTGGACTCCACATGTACAAACACATGAGGAGAGATTCTTCTCTCCCTTTCTCCCCCCTACCTTCCCTACATCCTCTTCTCCTTCCCTTTCTCCCTTTCCCTCTGTTGTCTACCATAGTAAACAGTTAAATCATACTCTACTGCTATAAGGTGAAGTCTGAGCTTCAGGCCAGGCCAAATGATAGATTGTCCCTTCCCTAGCCTAGCAACTGTGATTAACTCCACAGCCTTTGGTGAGAGCCAAGGGAGTGTGTGGCCGAGAAAGGGAATGCCCAGTGCATGTTGAGTCTGGAAGTAGATGCAAGAACAGTAAGCTCTGGCTAGAGAGATGGCTACTCTTCTGGAGGACCAAGTTCAGTTCCCAGCACCCATATAGCAGCTAACAATCATCTCTTAACTCCAGTTCCAGGGGATTCAATGCTCTTATAGTGTCCACAGATATCAGGCATTCACATGGTATACATACACACATTCAGGCAAAACATTCATACACATACATACACACATACAAAATAAATCTCAAAAATATACCAAGATCCATTTCTTCCCCAGTCAGAACAGCTATCATTAAGAAAACAACAGGGACTGGAGAGGTGGCTTTGTGGTTAAGAGCACTTGCTGCTCTTGCAGAAGACCCGGGTTTGGTTCCTAGCATCCATGTGGTAGCTAATAACCATTTATAACTCCTGTTCCAGGGCACCTGACACCTTCTGGCCTCCTCAGGCAATGCATGCATGTGATGCACTTACATACATGCATGCATGCAAAACACTGATACACATAAAAAAAATGTAAAATTAAAAAAGCAAAAAAGAAAACAACAAACCCTGGGGTTGATGAGGTAGGGGAGGAATTCTTATATACTGCTGGAGGGAATGTAAATTAGTATAGCCACTATGGAAAACAGAAGTTGCCCCCCCAGTTGAAAGCAGAAGCATCATATGATCCTGCTATCCACTCCTGTGCATATGTCTGAAGGATTCTAAGTCTGCATAGCACAAAAATAACGTGCACTTCCATGTTTATTGCTGCATTATTCACAAAACCTAAGAAATGGAGCCATCCCTATGTATACCACCAGATGAATAAAGAAAAGAAAACATGGTCTATACACAATGGAGTTTCATTCTGCCTTAAAGAACAAAATTATGCTATTTGCACAAAGATGAATGGAATGGGAGGATCATGTTAAGTGAAATAAACCTGAATCAGACAGACAAATAACACACATTTTCTCTCATCTTCAAAATATATGCATAAAAATATATACCACCTGAAAATAGAAAGGGGACTATTTGGGAAGAGGAAGGGGATCATTAGGAGGAGACAAGAGAGGGTAATGAGAGGTGCATATGATGATATGCATGACTGCATGATATAATGATGAATATGTCAAAACATCATTATGAATATACACTAATAGAAAAAAAGGTTGATAATATTATTGCCAGATGACCCAGCAATTTCACAGAAAGGCATAAACCCAAGAGAATTGGAAATAGCTATATAAAAACTTATCCATAAATGTTCACAGCAATGTTTCCTAATAAAAACTGAAAATGGCCATTATCTGTTAATGGACAAACTCGGCCAGAAATAGGGTTAAGCGTTGACATATACTATGACACAGATGAGCCCTAAAAACGTATATTTTCTAGCTCCTTTCATTTACATTTACATTTTGGTTTTTTGGTCTTTTTGAGACAGGGTCTTCCTGTAGCCCCAGCTGGCCTGGTACTCTGTATAGAACAGGCTGGCCTCCTACTGCCTCCCAAGTACTGGTATTAAAGGCACGTGTCACCACGTCTAGTAATATTTTGTTTTGAGACAGGGTCTCCCTGTAGTCCTACCTGGCCTGGAACACACAGAGATCCGCCTGCCTCTGCCTCCTGAGTGCTGGGATTAAAGGTATGCACCACCATGCCCGCCACCATGCCCGGCTGCAACACTTTTTTTTTTTTTTTTTTTTAAAGACAGGGTCTCACTATGTATCCCTGGCTGGCCTGGAAGAACTTAATATGTAGACCAGGCTGGCCTCAAACTCACAAGTGATCTACTTGCTTCTGCCTCCTGGGATTAAAGGTGTGAGCCACCATGTCTGTTGGCCCATTTGCAAATGTTTTTGAGAATTGCAAGACACATAGTCGGGAGCTCAAGAAATGTGAGTTTCCACTTTCCACAATGTTTTCTGGATGGTTTCAACCTTTAGGTTCAAGGACCAGAAAGCACAGGGACTAGATTCCTATGACACTCTTTTCAACATCACTCAGTTCTGAGAGACCCCAACAAATATCGCAGGCATGTCAACCTGAGACATCCATAGCAAGGTGGCAGGTGGGAAGGCAGCCTGCACTGCAACCCCAGCCCAACCTGGGGGCTCACTAGAAACCAGTGACAACTCTGCCCTGGGCAAAAATGGCTGATGCAGTCACTCTCTGTCAGAGCAGAGAGGCTCTAGCATGTCTGATTGGTAGCCCCTCCATAGCCCAGTGCCCAGCTGGGACACGCCTGTCTCCCTCCAGGGAGCCACAAGGGATTTATGCATAGCAATTGCTCTCCCTTCCATGTGGGAGCCAGGGGCCAGACTTACAGTGTGAGCATTGTTGATCTTCTTCACTTCCCACTGGCCTTCCCCAGTGTAGGTCAGCAGGGAGATGGCCCCATCTGAGCTCCCGCAGGCCAGGATCAGGCCATAGTCATGGGGGGCCCAGCACACAGAATTCACTGTGGGAAGGAGGCACAGTGAGCAGGTTTTCATCCCACATCTAGTGTTTTGTTAAATTCCCAGAAGAACCATAAGGATCACCAGTGGCCAGTTGACATTTTGTCAAATAAAGACGTTAAAATAACCCCTATTAACACCTAAGAGCATTTCATATGCTTATTTGAACAAAACGAGGAGAGGCAACCTGAGACTTAAGGCCAGGTCAGACTTGGGAGGCCTCACTGTCCTGGCTAAATCTCCTTAGACTGGCTTTAGGTCTTGGGGACTTTATCACAACTATGGACAGACTAGCAGAAAAGTTAACCAATGTCTAAAGGACAGTCAACAGCAGGGGCAGGGAGCTAGGGCTGTGGCCAGAAGAGGATCTTCCCACCCACGGGCCCTTCCTGCTCATCTGCCAACTCTGGGTACCTGAGGAATCATGTCCCGAATGCTCATGGGTCTTCTCCCAAGTGCCATTTTCCTCTTTCCAGATAATGACTTTCCGGTCGTAGGAACACGAAGCCAGGATATTACCATACATAGGGTGGGCCCAGGCCACTTGCCACACTGGCCCCTCATGTCTGCAAGGGAGGGAGTCAGAGGCTGCTAAGAGGACCAAGGTATCCATAGTGTCACTTCCCCCTGGAGAAGACAGCAGAATGTTCCCATCGTCTTGTTTGAGACAACGTCTTGCACTACATAGCCCATGCTGGCCTTAAACTTGTGATACTCCTTCCTCTACCTCCCAAGAGCAGGGGCAATAGGTGTGTGGCACTATGTTCAGCTTTGGTCTGGGTTCTTACTCTCTCAAGCAGTCTGATGAAGATCCTAAATCCTTCTCAGAATAATGCTTGAAAGACACAGAACTAGGTTTACAAAGAAAACCCATTATCTTGAAATAGCAAAATGTCAAATTGTTTCTTTGTCAACACATCAAGTAACGAGTGGTAGCTCTAACAATCTCTGTGATTTCAAAGTCATGATGAGCATCAATGATATTCTCAGACAGTTACAATGCCATGTTAAGAGGGAAACACCTACAGCTTTTGTTGGTGACAAAGTGCCTGTCACTTTGTCATTGCTGTGGTCCAGCCTACTTTCAAAATGGAAGGAAAAGCTAAATTTGAGCATTTTTCCCTATCCTAGCTTGTCAAATCCTAGATTCGACTCACAGAATCCTTGGAGACCTATGTGCCCCAGGTTAGAAACCCAGACTACGTATAAGGCTCTGAAGGGAGAGAAAAGCAAATGTGTAGCTACTTGCTGGCCATCTGCCATAAGCAAACAGGCAGAACAACAGGATGTATTAAATTCATCTTACAGGCCTGGTGGAATGGCTCATTGGGTAAAGTACTTTCCATACAAGCCTGAAGACCTGAGTTCAACCCCCAAAATACACAGAAAAGTGGAAGGAGAGAACCATCTCCACCAAGCTGTCCTTTGACCTTCACATGTGTGCCCGACACACACATAATCATAACAAATAAGATTCATCTCATGATCTTTCTCTTGAGTGACACTCCAGGTCACACTGGCTAAATGAGCACAGGATGACTGTTCATCACTTCTGAATATGGTGGTGGCTGCCCATGCCAAAGGTATATTGATGGGTCCTGGTTCAGTACCTGCCTACATGACAGGAAGGAGACAAAATTAGCCTATCTGGGAGTTAAGTAAAGAAGGGCTCTGAGAGGCAAAGCGCCTCACTTACCCAGGTCTCCTGGTGAAAATGGGTGGCAGTGCTGGGCATCATGCCTGAATGTACCTCTGCTGGAGACAGTAGAGGACTCTGCTCCAGCTATCCTCACTGCTGAGGCTGCATTCTTCCTCAAAGGCCTGAGAAGCCGGCTATCCCAGAGACCTTCCCCAGGCTTGCCCACACTTACCCCCTGAGGTCTGCGATGAGGATTTGTCCTCCGTTGCGCACATCGAAGATTTTGACAGACCTGTCAGAGGAGCAGGTTGCTAGGCGGGTGCCATAGTAGTCCATCTGCGCATCGTGCTGCAAGGGGAGGACAGCTGGGAAAGCCTGCAGTCTGGGCAGGTGCAACCACCAGCCAGGGCCTAGCATAGAGCAGCATCTACCTAAACTCAATCTCCAAGAATCACCACCCCTAGGCAACAAGTTAGAATGTTGGTGTTCTCACTTCTCTTCTAGGAATTTGTCTTTCTGGAAGGGACCAAATAAAGTTTACTAAACTGGCTGTACAGACCCTTGATGCACTCTTTCCAATACTATTCAGTGAGTGAATATGGGAGGAGGAAAAACAGGTTTAAGATGTCTTCCTCCTCTCTGTTTTCAGGCTCCATGGGCTATAGGGGAAGATCTCCCCAGGCTCGGCTCAGCTCAGCTCAGCCCCAGACCCCTAGGCTAATGATAGACAGCAGGCCTCAAGACTGCTTCAGGCCTTGACTGCTTCAGGCGCCTCTATGAAGCACCATGGGCCTGGACACAGGGATCAATGCAGGTATATGGGCCCCTCCCTCCACCAAGGCCCTGGAACCTTGGGGGATCTTTTTCTATCAGTGTACCTAGTACCCTAACTCCCCAGCCATAGGAAGCAATGTCTTAAGTATTACTGGCCCTACCTCTCAGAAACCAACTTCCTCAACACTGTATGTATATCTGGAGGTAAGGCTGGGTCTGCCAAGTTCTGGGCCTACCTCTAAGGCACTACACCTATGGTTTCCCTCAACATCTCAGGCCCCCGATGGCTGGCTCTGCCTATCCCAGAGGATGCCACTTTCCTATCTGTCCCACCTTGCAGGTTTCAGGAATGGCTAGCTGTCACCTAGAACAGTTTGGGGCTGAGCTGAGCTGAGCCTGGGAAGATCTTCCCCCATAGCCCATGGAGCCTGAAAACAGGAGGGAGCCTGAGAGAGGAGTTATACCCTTTTAAAGAAAGTGCTATGCGGAACCCAATGCTCTATCACCTGCATACTCAAGGAAAATGGCTCTTCTTGAAGGTCACTGTGTCAGGCCTTGCTCTCCTGGTAGGTAGGCTGCAGGCCTATTCCAAAACCCTTCTCAGCAGAGCACTCACAAAGTGGGCAGAAGGAGGGCATAGTACCTGAGGTGGAAATCCTCTTTATCTGTTGTACAACCTTTGAAAAATTACCTCATCTTAACTTTCAGTTTCCCCATCTTTAAAAAAAAAATATTATTTTTAAAATTTTATGTGTATGTGTGTGTATTGCCTGCATGTAGGTAAGTGCACCCATGTCGTGCAATGCCCGCGGAGGACAGAAGAGACTGTCAGATCTCCTGGAACTGGAGTTATGGACAGTTGTTAGCTGCCATATGGGTGCTAGGATTTGAACCCGGGTCTTCTGCAAGAACAGTCAGTGTTCTTAACTGCTGAGCCATCTCTCCAGCCCGAGTTGCCCCATCTTTAAATGGGGCTAAGGAATGCACTGGTTTCAGGGATCCTGAAGGTTGAAAGGACTTAGTATGGGGTCTAATGATAATCTGGTGAGCCCACAATGTTCCAAACTATTATCCCAAGGAGGAAAACAAGGTAAGCCACTGTTGAGTGTTTCTAGGCCATATTCTTGCTTTCAGACCCATGCCAGCTCCAGCCATGTGGTCTCATGGCTAGACTGCTCATGACCAGAACCAGAAGCCTGCATAGTTCAGCATCAAAAATCCCAAAGCCAAATGCAGGTGGTTGGGTTGGGAGGACAGGAACCCTGCATGAAACACTGAGACCACCTGGCCTGGGCACTGCTCAAAGGTTGCCTGCACTGCTAGGCTTCCAGGAAGCAGGCTGAGTTTTCAGCTGGAGACTTCAACCTCTGGACCTTCCCCTGCAGTCCTACACTGAGCCTCTGTATTGGCCTTTCAAGAAACACCCTAAGTAATGACTTCAGGTACAAGGGCCTGGCATGGCTTACTGTCTGGGGTGGGCTCTGCCCTGGGCTTTCACTGTGACTGCCTCTGACTCTCTACTAAGTCACCTTCCTACTCTCCCTTGTTTAACTCCTAATCAATAGGACCAAGAAGTGACCATAGGAGGAAGACAGGTGGAAAGACAATCATTAAACCTCTGCCCCAACTCAGCCTGTCTCAGGGAAGATTACTCTGCAGGCTATAGACTGCAGGGCTTGAGTTACAAACCAGAGGCAGGTACAGCAAAGACTGGCCACTGTCACAGCCCTGCCAGCTGAGGCCACTTGGGGAAAATGACCATACCCTCGAGGTTCTGGCCTGACAGGAACCACTACAGTGTCACAGCTGACTCATGGGTAACCAATGAAAAGGGGAAATGCAAAGCCCAAATGACTCTTACCCATGGAAATGCCCATATCCAAACTTAGGAGATGGGCTGAAGGGATACTTACTATCATGTCCTCATGGGAGGTGTCCACAGTGTTAATTACTGATACCTAAAACAAAAAACACCCTGTGAATTAGCTTACAGCAGCCAGAAGAATCATACCATCAAAGCACCAAGTGTTTCTGAAGTTCTTGGGGGCACTCATTCACGGTTTTGCTCACTCTATAAACATTTGCTTTTTTTTTCTCTTCTCTTCCCTTCCCCCTTCCCTCCCCTCCCCTCTCCTCTTGTTTTGAGATGACTTCTTAGTCCAGATTGGCCTTGTATTTGCTATCCTCCTGTTTCAGCCTCCCAACTGCTATGATTACAGATGTGCATCCCTTACACCCAGCTAATGACTGTCTTTTTATTGCACACTGGGCCATGGCCTGTAGACTGACAGGAACAAGAGGTGGTTCTTGCCTCAATGAAGCTCATGCATAAATAGTCAGCCCATGGCCAGATCAATCATGTAATGTGGTTTCTGTGGGCTGAAGAAGCCTGAGGGGCTGGTAAGGGTAACATATACATCAGGCTTTAGATGACAAGGAGGAACTTATTGCATGGTACAAGGAGAAAATATAGCCCAAGCAGAAGGGATACAGTCTGAGACTGTTTAAAGGAGAGTGAGGGTGACAAGCAGATCTGGCTGCCTGGCAGAGGTGAGGTGGGACCAAGTGGGAGCTAGAGTTCATGTTTTTCTCCTGGATAACAGCACCTCTAATGGCCTAGAAAGTTTATGTATAAACAGGTTACATTACTAAAGACAGAGCTTGATTCAGTTTCTTCTGAGGCTACTTACTCCCTGGTCTACCACTTAACAGGGCTGCCTAAACTATAACTTAGTGGGACCCAGAGTTGAGTAGATTGTAGGGCTAGAAAACAGCTATAACGACCATCAATGATGTCCCCTTTCTGTGACATCTCAAATCAGCTCTTTCTCCAAGATTCTCAGATCCCCATCTAGCTAGACTCTCACATACACAAGAGCACTGAACATCTACAGTACTCTATGCTGCTTCTCTGCTCTAGAAGATGGGTTCCCTGAAACCATCTATAGCTTTTAAACAATCAATTAATCTCTCTCATTTTGAGATAAGGTCTTACTATAGAGCCGTGACTGGTCTTGAACTCACAGAGATCTGTCTGCCTCTGCCTCCTGAGTGCTGGGATCAAAGGTGTGTGTTACCATGCCTGGCAGCTTTGAATCTCTTAACATTATTTAGCACAGTGCTTTATAGACAGAAGGAACTCAGTAACCAGTCACTGAATTAATAAACAAAAATTATATATTTTTTCTTTGCTCAACCTCTATCCTCTTAAATTCTTGGTAAAGAAAAGGGGACTGAAAAGGTGGCTTCCATTTGGGACTGACATTTCTCACCATTTCCCACATTTCGCCATTTCTCCCAGTGCAAGCCCTGCAGTTAAAAAGACTGACTTCAAGGCAGGGTGTGGTGGTGCAGGCTGGTAATTCTAATTCCCTGAAGGTTGAGAAAGAAGAATAGAGTTCCAAGCTAGCCTGGGCTACTTAAAGGTGGGCTCTGGAGTACGCACAGGTATTCTTAGGAATTCTAAATGCTCTAGAAAGTTCCCTTAAGGGTCTACAAAGACAAGAGAGGAAGATGAGTTGCCTTTGTGTGCTCAGACATCCAGGTTATTAAGAGCCTTCACATGAGCAATGAGAGGCACTGGGGCTAACACACTAAAGGAACCAGAGAAGAGAAAACCCTTGCTCAAGTCAGAGCTGGGAAACGAGCCCCAGCTGCTAACTTCTAACTCCCGGTCCACAGTCCATGCCACAAGACTTTCCACCTCAAGTTTAGAGTGGATGGTACACTGAATTCCCACAATCCAGACTAGCTGAGGGAAAAGTGGATTCACAAAGGTTTACTGGGAAGTACTCTCAGAGTAGTGACTGAAGGACCTTAGAGAGAGCTGGCATTTACTTCTGATCCCTCTCATCCACCAGCCAGGGGTGGCACCCACGCTTCTGAATGCAAATGAGCATTAAAGCTCTTAAGAGCAGTCCTCTGGAGTACCTGCTGTTCACCCTGTCATGGAAAGCAGTAAGAAGCTGTTTCATCAGAACCACATGATCAAACCTGATCAATCAAACCCGAGTCTCCAACTCTGCAACAGAAGACCAAAAGGCCAAAAGAGGAGAGTGTCAGCTCCTTGCACCACTGTGCCAGTCTCGGCCGAGACTTCCAGAGGTTAGTTCTCATTCATTCACTGAGTCAGTGAGGAGTGAAGATACACAGCAGATACCGCAGAAATGAGAAACAATAAAAGAGACTCTGCCCTCAGAGCCATTCATCCGAATCCTCCCATCAGTTTCCTGAAGTGTCCATCACACCTGGGAGCCCTGTGCCCAGCAACGGATCGCTCCACCACCTTTCCTGAGGTAGTGGGTAGCAGAACCGGAATGGTTAGGCTGTAGATCGCAGCTCTGCCGCTGCCCAGCTCATCTGCAAGTGTTATTGATTATCAAGCATCTGCTCCGCAGGCTGTGCGCAGTCTGGGAATATGGGCAATATGGGAATGTACCAAGGGCTCGACAGACAGCAGGACCTATAGCGGCTTTTTTTCCCAATTGGAAAAAAAGGTCAGGCCACGACACCGGCGGGAGGCGCCGCAGCAGCACTGGTTTCCGAGTTCCGGAATATACCAAGGCCTCACCACAGCCTCCCGTTCCCACGCCACGCAAACCTCGAGGTGGAGGGGAGCTGGACCACCCGAATTCCGAGGCTCAGCGCGGCATGACGGCCGCCGGAACCCCAATACTCACCATAGCTGCAGCAGCAGTGACTCTCCCCTTCGGACGTGGCAGCTCCAGGCGGCGCCTCAGAACGCCTCACTTCCGGCGCCGGCGTGCAGCCAGCGGGCCATTATTCAGAAGTCTCCGGTTAGCAACACACTCCTCTAGCACAAAGGTTCCATATCTTCCGGTGCCCGCGCCATACCCTCCCGTGGCCCCTCCCTATTATCGAGGATCTTGTGGAACCTGAGCGGTGGGGCTCAGGATTGGTACTTACTTGTTAGTCCCTCTGCAGGACAATCTTGCCCTCCCTACGCCACAGGACGAATGACTTCAGAGACCCTAAACTTCCAAAAGATCCCCTGGGATCTTGTGAGTCTAACCCATCCGGGATTCTACAACTCCTGTCGCTGGAGACCAGGACCCAATACCCAGTGTTCCCAACCGTGGTCTCACCAGCATTCCTAAGGGGAGGCAGCAGGGGTCTCCAGCCCCTGGGACTCTGGCTACCCTCAAAGGAGAGCAGCTGGAGTTCCCAACACCTTCAACCCTAGCTTTTGAATCTCCACATAAGCACTATGAGGTGAATGCTGGGCTCCAGAACAGCCCCTTAGTTACAAATGGTCCCGCCTCTGGCCGACTTCAGACTTGAAAGGTAGGTGTGTACCCCAGGGTGAAACCTCAACTCCCCTTAGCTAAGTCAAAACCCTTTACTTCCTTTGTTGAAACTGGAGTTCGCTGAAAATGGTTACTGGCAAGATGCCAAAGCTCAAGGAATACGAATTGCTCAGACCGTCAAGGGGCTTTGGAGAGTGAGTGTTAACAGAACAAAGGGGCCAGGCATGGAACAGTCTTATAAGCCCCCTCACTTCGCCCTTTGAGAGCGCTTCCTATTCCACTGGAGAAGTATTGCAGGGATGTGAGGAGGTGGTGCTTAGGGTGGAACAGGGAACAAAGCTGAAGAGGATTCCTTGGCCTTCTGTTCTTCCAGGCACACTGCCTGGCCTCCTATCTGTAGCTGCACTGCATCCTTCAGTTGATAAAGTCAACCCACTTCTCTCTGAGCCTCACTTTTCTCCAGTGAAAAATGGAAACACAAGTATTTTACATTAAATATAATGCACGAGGCACTGTTACTGATGGAGTTTCCTGGTGTAAACACTGAAGTTGAAGAAACCGAGGATCTGGGGCAAGTGACAGAAACTTGAGATATTTGTAGGGTGGGCTGAAAGGCATAGCATTATATCAAGTTTTAGAGTGCAGACCCTGGCTTAGGATGGTGAGATATTAATACCTCATCTCCTGCTCATTTTTTGCCTCTTTGAGTGGCTCTCTCCTCCTCTGTTAAATGGGAAATATGATACAGGTTGAGTACCTCTTGTCCTGAGACCAGCAGTGTTTCAGACTTTGGTTTTGGAATATGTGCATGTCCACAATGGGATCCAATGGGATCCAAGCCCAATCACAGAATTCACATATGTTTTATAGACTCTTACACATGTAGTCTAAGCTAATTTATATGATATTTTAAATAATTTTGTGCACACAGCAAAGTCTGATGATATGGGATTTCCTTTGTGGGGCTTCCTGTTGGCACTCAGACAGTTCCAGATTTTCAGATTAAGGATGCTCAGTCTGTAATGCCTCCACTGAGGACAATGACTTTGCATCTGAAAGTCAATGTTGGATTAAATTTCATTTCCAACCTTGGAACTGAAACTGTGTTTGGAAATTATATGTGCCAATATCCCCCAATCAGGGATTCAGTTCAACCTGAGAAGAGTTAGGATTTTGTGCATGTAACTCTCAATGTTTGGACCAAGACTGAGAGTTGTTTCTTGATCTGATATTCCCTTTTCTGTGAATACTCAGCAGAGGTTTGCCAAGTTCAAATTCCTAGGGTACCAGGTTCTTCTTTGCTTTCTTCCTCCTCAGTAAGGGGACATCACTTAAATCCTGGGTCCCAATTTCCTACTTCCTCCTTCTAGTTTATCCCAGATCACAGTCAGGCCACTCTGAGCTTCCCCATCTCTGCTTTCCACCTCCCTGCCCCTTTGCATCCAAGTTCTTCTTTTCTTCTGAGACCCTTCCTCACAAGCCTTCCTCTCTGAGATGGGTTAATGTCTCACAGAAGGTTAAGCTTGCCTTTCTCAGATGGTGGGAGCTCAAAAGGCGTAATCTAGTGGAAGAGGAGTGAAATATCTTTCCTAACCAGAGACTTGATTTCCCCAGCTTCAAATCCATGGAACATGGGGCCCAGCTGTCTTGCGGAAAAAGGCCTTGGGATGGTTACCATGCCTGTGTTTCCATGTGTGCATTTATTATTATTGCTCGGTATAGTGTTGAAAAGGCAGACAAATCCCATTAGTTACAAAGAGCACAAGCCAGAGATACAGAGAAATAAAGAGTGTACAATAAGAGCACAGTCACTTCCCAGCCCCAATTGTCCCAAAGCCCCCCAGAGCCCGGGCAGCTTGTGGAAGCTGGAGGCGGCACCATTCCCTCACTACTGTTATAAAAGATGTGCACATAAGAGTTAGCAAAGTGTGGTGACCCCCAAGAGGGAAGGCCCCGGAGGGAGAGCACCACAGACGTTACAAAACAGACCAAGGACCTGGAGGGTGGCCCAAAGCAGCCTTGAACCTTTTGTTTTGAGAGGAGAGGATGATGGCAGCTGCCCAGGGCCTGGAGTACCCCCTGCCTTTGGTGGGTCGGATCTCTATGTTAGAAGAGCTTCATTTGGATCTTGGAAAATATGTGGGGACATCCTGTGGTCTGATTGGGGCCTTGGTGCTTCAAGAAGTGCCCTGCTCCTAAAAACCTCAAAGGGTGGGGCCTTAGATACCAGAGCAAGAGAAATTTGAGTGGGATGCTTGTTAGCATGTGATTCAAGGATGCTGAGACATCCAAGCAAGAAATTTCTGCACCCCAAAGGTGTTGAAACTCTGAATTAATAAGAGGTGACCCACTCCAATAACACAAATAAAATAGTCAAATGAAATAGTTTGGGAAAGGGAAATAGGAAGTGTTTTTCCATGTAGAGTAATTCTAGCTAGGCTGTATGTTCTCTCCTAGCACTGGGTCTGGGAGAGGTCCTTTCTTCCAGTCTGGACCATGGCAGATGGAGATCTGCCCTTGTACAACCACATGAAGTGACGGGTTCAAGCTAAGTTGGGTGGGGGGCTTGGTGGCATCTCCTTACAACTCCAGGGCTTAGGAGACAGGTGAAGTGGTGATTTTCCAGATGCTCAGGGATTCAGAATGCTGTTTTGTCCTCCTGACAGGACATTCTGCACTTAGAAGCCCTGAATGGGCAGTAATTATGATGGGGGAGGTATATGTGGCACATAGAGTGACAAGGCTCAGAGTTTGCAGGGATAGGAGTGCAGAGGGCAGAGGCCCAGCAAAATTTGAACAGATGTGAAAAAAAAACTGGGAAACCTTGTGAAGACTAAGGGAGACTCATCCCTCAACATAATAAACATTCTAGAGGGACAATAATTAAAACCACATGGCTGGTGCCAGAGGAAACAGTGGATGAGGGAACAGAAGAGAAATTTTAGAAGTAGGCCCAAGACTACATAAGAAATCAGGAAGTGACAAAGGAAGGGACAGGGGAATAGTGGCTGTTTGTTAACCATGGAACCTGGGATAGGACGGTGTCTGGCTTGGGAACAGCCAGTGTCACTGGTCTAGTCTTAGAATCAGGGTACTTCTCTCTTGTCAGCTCCATGCTGTGGCAGAGAGGAGGAGATGGTGAGGGGCTGGTGGAGCAATGGAGCACTGCTGCTGAGTTTCCAAAAACTCTGTGGGTTGCAGGTTGAATTCTCCCTTCTCCACATCTAGGTGAGTGGCTAAGCTCTCACTTGTTGGGGGTAGGGAGACAAGTTGATGGGCTCACTGGATCTAATAGCTGAACTAGCCCCTGCCTGGAGCCCTGTGTGGGGACAGGAAAGAAGAGGGGCAGGCCCCACACTAGGAAAGGGTGTAGATCACAGAGACTTCCTATATTCTGCTTGATTTTTTTTTCCTTTAAAAAAAAGTACCACAGACACATTAGAACCACTCTGCAAGTCAGAAGAGCCAGCTATTGAAAGTACGACCATTGCATAGTATTAAATGAACAGAGACAGTAAGTTCTTTATTTACAATTATTGTCTAGATAAAAAAATTCATAAAAACAGATGAATGGTCATAAATTATTGACCCCCTAATGGGGTGAACTGCCAAACATACCCCATGCTGCTAGATATAGGACGCAGAGTGCAAGCTTTGTGTACTACAGTGAGTTTTAACAAACCAACCATCTCCTGTGTGGGCGTGTGCATGTGTGGATGAATGTGCATGTGTGAGAATGATGGGGTGGGGGGTGGGGTTACCCCTCATTCCTGACAAGAGGCCACTGCTCATGCTGGGCCTCCTTAGTAGCTTCTCTGAAGCTGTCTTTGAAGCTGGCTATACTTAGAGAAAACCTCCTGTTTGTCTTTGAGGCCTGGTTCCAAAAGCCCAGAAGCTCCAGTGTATAAGCAAAGCAACTCTGGTGTCATGGAATGAGGTCACAGATATATAATCGAACATAGGAGGGCAAGATGAGAAATGTGAAAAAGGAAATTCAAAAAAGAAAAATCCTCAAACAACAAAAAACCCATCATGTTCCAAGGCTTCCCCAGGTTTCCCATGTGCAGGCCTTTCTTCCTTGGAGGGGTGCGTGGGTTGGCTCTGGTGGTATCTACTGGAATCCAGTTGGCACAGCCAGGGCTGGTCTGCCATCACTGGGGAGGTAGCTCCCTCTCCTGGATACATTCTTTCTCACAGAAGATCCTCCTTACAGAAAGATTGTTGCCAGGTGGGATGGGCAGACTTTGAACCCCCAAGTCCTGAAGTTCTTCACAGCTATCCAGACATGGGCCCTCCCAGCTGACTATGGCTCTTTTCCCGAGTGGCTCTCATCTTGTTAGTGGAAGAGTTCTCTGGGCCTGGAGGAGGGCTGGGGGGCCAGGCTGCCACTGAGAGATTGTGGGAAGAGTTGGCGTGAAGGATGGAGTTCAAAAGCGAGGTGGAAAGTGTTGGTTTTCCTTGAAGCATGGGACATCATCGATCATGGTATTCAAAATGTCTTTTGCACTGTACAAGTTTATGGAAAAAGATTGTATGCTGAAAAGTCTCAAAGCAAACTTTGTATTAAATACAAAAGTTCTTTTATGAAAAAAGCTGAGACCCACAAAGTGCTTAGCAGTTAAGAGGCTGACAGACGATTAAATAAGCTCTCATTAAGTGGGATTACTAGTGCTGTTATTGTCTGGGGGAGGGGAGATAGCCACCTTTTCTTACCTGTGATATGGGAGGATTTCAGAATGGCTTTCTGTCCGGGAAAGCAAGACTTGCTGTTTTAAAAGGCTACAGTATATATTGTGACTACAGGAAGACAATTTGGTTTAAAAATCACACTGAATACATCTCAATACACACATCATAAGGTTCATTCGGATCTAAATAGTGCAGAGAAAAAGGCTATTCTTCAAAAATAAAAATAAAAGCAGCAAGCCATACCAACCCTCATCCAATATGCCGGCAGCTCCTATGCCGCCGTTTATAAGGAAATAAACCTCTAAATTACTAACTAAAAGGAAAAAAAATCAACACAATAGCATTTATAATATCTGGACACTACCTCGACTGTACAGACAGTGCCAAAGATAACTCAGTTCCAAGATGTACTCCGTAAACTCAAGCGAGTTTCATCGAGAGAAAAGCCTTCTACCAGTGTGTTGCAGACTGGATGGCTGTGTTGTGTTGCAACCCTGGGAAGCCTTCTCTCTTCTTCTCCTCTGTCTACAGAGCATGGTGCTCAGCTCCTCAGGATGGCTCCCCAGGAGCAGTTGGCTTTCTGCCTGAGCTTCCCATGATAGTGACGTTATTGAACGGAAATAGCAGGCAAAAATCATAGCATGGTTATTGAAGAACATCAAGGATGCAATCCAGGGGAGATGTCTGCTGGACCAAGCTGTTTGGTAGCACTCGGCCATCAGTGTTCTTAAACCATACAAATAGCCAAAGACATTATCTACAGGTTTGTAAACAAATTACATTCTTCTTTTAGGACATAAATAAGTTAAAATAGAGCAATTTAAGCAGAAACAAGGCAACATGCCGGCAAAGAAATTTTATATATCCATGTATATATATTTATATATATATATATATATCTACCTATCTATATGGACGTATACAGTCTTGGAGAAGTACACGTTGATATAGATACAAAGTAATGGATATAACCTCGTGAGTGTCTGTGGAGTTCTTGGGTTCCATTGGTGCAAATCTACTCTGTGAGTTAAGCTCTGCGATTTCAAAAAGTTATTAAATTAATCTAGACATCTGACACCATGCTGCACAAGCATTTCAAACCTCACAGACCAGTGGATTGGAGTCTCAGAAAAGAGTCTGTTTATAGTTCCACCTAAGAAAACAAACAAATACCCCCTTCCCAATCCCTCTAGAACTAAAAGAGGGGAGGATTGAATGTCTGGTACATTCATGCTGGGGACTCTGTGGCCCGGCAGGTCCATGTCTGGGCTGGAGCCAGGAAGGGCTCTTGTTTTGGGAACACTCCTGCTCTCTGCTCCAGATGCCCCCAGGATAACCCTGCCCCTTGCCTGGGAGTGATAAAAGAGTTCAAACAGCATCGCAGCCAGAGAAAGGGTCTGTGGGTGGAAAGGCGCTCTCTCCGCTGTGTGGGCTCCTGCTAGTGCTCCTTGCTGCGTGGGGGAGTCGGTGCCTGGAAGAGTGGGTGCCCGGAGGCGGTTGGCGGCGGGTCCATGAGGGTGGCCAGGTGACAGGGGCCTCAGCTAAAGCGAGGTCTCCAGGCTGTGGATGGGGCTCCCTGGACTTGAAGAGGTAGCTGATTTGCTCGTGTCGGTGGTCAGGTTGATCCCGCTGTCGATGGCGCTGTTGTTCTTGTTGAGCGAGGACGGCGGGCTCGAATTCTGCTTGAGCGCGGCATCTTCTTCCAGGTCAGTGTCATCGATGAGGGGGATGTGGGGCTGGGAATCTTCGATCCGGAATTCAGGATGAGCCATGAAGTTATGGATGGAGGTTCGAGATTCGGGTTTTTCTAACCCTTCATAGAGAGAGCTACGGAACGCCTTCACGACGCGGATCTGCAAAGAAAGCACAGGGCTCAGGAATGGCTCAGCTCACGAGGGCCTTGGAGGAAGAGCGGGGGTGAGGGGCAGGAGGGAGGCTGGGATCAGTCGCTGGTGTTATGAACATCGATGGGGACGGGTGGTAGAGGGCTCAGGTGACGCATCCATGAGTTGGTTTTTAAGTGGCTTTGGTTTGGGTCAGAACTAGGGTATTAGTCGGGACCACAAGGCACCATCACAGAGATGCTGGCGCAGTATGGTAAACAGGAGCATAGTCCACTCCGGCGGGCACCCGACCTAGTGAGAGACTGAGCCTTGTTAACATCACAGCAGAGTTCGACCATGCAAATGGGGTGAGGCCGGGGGTGATAGTTGGAGAGAGGAGAGGCTATTTGTTAAAAAAAAAATAATTAAAAAAAAACCACACACAGTTAAGAAACCAAACCACATGGAACAGGTACATACAGGTCACACAAAGAAGGAACAGGAAGGAGAGATGGTTGGATGAGGTGGGATGAGAGGACACACCAGGGCCAAACAGAGAAGGGGACATCAAGCCGAGGCAGCAGAGCAAAGCAAAGCCAGCGAAGGCTTTCTGAGGTGCAGGGCTGCAGCAGCCGGAAGCACGGAGTTGAGGGGAATCAAGACATTGGGGGTGGGGAGCATGCCACAGGGTTCAGAGACCACACACACACACACACACACACACACACACACACACACACTGACATACAGCTACACTTGGAAGCCTGCACAATGTGAACGGAGTCATTTGTACCCAGCGTTTCTTTCCTTCATGCAGTTGGGAGGTAAACACTCGAGTATCGGCTCAAAGCCCTAGCCAGCCATTGCAGCTTGCTTGGGGGGAGTCCCTTGTTTTCTGGAATTTTGGGGTTATTACTCTATTTGTGCTTTGAAAACACAAAACTGGGGGAAAAAAATCTGAGGCCAGAAGCAGATGGTCAAGCCCAGCTCCCCCAAGAGGTTTTGGGAAGGGGGATGGGGAGGGCATGGTGCTGTACCACAGACAGCAAAGTCCTCAGGGCTGGCACAGAGTCCTGGATTTGGAATAGGAAGGGCCAGGTTGGGGTCCTGGCTTGGCTATTCCTCATGCGTTGGCTGTGGAGAGCCACACCACCTTGCTGGTCATGTTCTGAACTGCCTTACAGAGTACAGAGAGCCAGCAGCCCCTCTTGCAATTAAGGTATCCCTTTGGGAGGGGCACATGCTTGGCATCTGAAGGGGCCTAGAACTTGGAATAAAGATGTCGCCTGCTCATTTCTCAGTGTTCCCTCCGAGTGGGGCAAAAGGTAGAGAAAAGAAGGTGACCCGATACCCTCAAAGGCACAGCCTCTGGTGGCCGAGGGGCATGACCTTAGCCATGGTTCAGGAGGCTTTGAGGAGACGGTTGTGGGGAGGTCCTTGAAGTCTCACACTTGAACTCATCTAAACCCAGGGTAGCTCCTCTGTGGGTCAGGGTTAGGGAGAGCCCTGTTGCTGGGTTGGCTCTGGGTCTGTGTCACAGCTGAGGAGTGACTCTGCTTCTAAGCTCATTGTAAGCTCTCCTGCAGAGACGAAAATTCAACTTGACAATGACCAATTGCCCTGCTTGGGGGCTTGAACTTATATAAGACCCTGTGGCCTGGGTCTGCCTTTCTTATCAGCTCTCCTCTGCCATAAGCGTCTCATTACTTAGTACCAACTTCTGCTTACTTTCTAAAAACCATCTCTGGCTCTTCTCTTCCTTACAAGCTGGGGACCCCAGAGAACCCTCTGCTTACTGGAATCAAGGCAAGTTGTCAAGAGGGAGCTAGCCAAAGCCAGTTGGAGCCAGCCAGACTGTCTTAGTACTGGTACTCTGTGACAACTGTGTTGGTTGCTGCAGGCTCTCTTTGTCTCTGGACACCTTAAGTGTGTCTCTGTAGATTAGTAATTCTCTGATCTCATAAATGGGTCTTTATACCCTCCAATATTTGAAAGCAAATGTTAAAAAGCTATAGAACTTTTTTTTACTAAACTTTTCCTTTTCTGTTGCTTGTTTGCTTTGAGACTGGGTCTCAAGTAACCCAGGCTGGCCTCAGAGGATGATCTTGAATTTCTGACCCTTCTGTTTCCACCTCTTGCCCAGTTTTAGGAGATATGGAAGAACTAATCCAGGGCCTTTGGCAAGCACTCTACCAACTGAACTAGGTCCCCAGCCCTTGGTTCCTTATCTGCAAAACAGGAGATATGCTGTTTCCTTCCTGTAGCTATCCAGCCTGGGGCTCAGTGTCTTCTGAGGCTGACTTGGAATAAGATGCTGGCTGGACCACTTAGTGTGTGAAAGGGGGAAGGGGACAGTGGCAGGCCTGTGTCAAGTGACTGACAACGCAGAGGGGACGACACACAATGAGATGAGGCCCCTCCGCCCTCCCCCTGGCATGGAGACAACAGAAAGAATGGACTGCTCTGGACAAGACTGTGGGGACAAGAATTTTCGGGACACCCCGCCACGGCCATCTCAAGTCGCCACTTCCGTTCTCTCTGCGGCTGAAATGGAAAAAAAAAAAATAGGGGAAGAAAAAAACAAAAACAAAAGCAAAAAACTCTTCCATCTCCCCTTCCTCCCTGCCCTAAAGATGAGGCTAGGGCCAGAAACCTCATGGGCATGTAGGGGCAGGGAAAGAGGAGGGGCGAGTGGGATTTCAAAGTTTCCTTTCAACAGCCCCAGGCCACTGGGTTTTCCCCAAGGTAGGCTCATTCTGAGGTGGGCTCGCTCTGAGGTGGGCTCCGCATACTCGAATGTTTACCCGGCTTCAAAGAAGCCAAGAGTCTGGGACTGATTCACATTCATTTCAGGCTCAAGGTTAAAGACTCACAACCTCTTTTAATTTCACTCTCTCTTGCTGAACTCTGTGTCCAGGGTTCTCTAGCCCTCTAGGAAACAAAGACATGGAATATTCAGACAGTGGAGAGGTCTAGGGTCCCCCCAGAAGCAAGCCATTTCCTTGCCAACCCAAGCTCACACCAAATCTTACTAGAGTGCTAAGGAGAGACTCAACTTTCCTCCTCACCACTGTCTGCATCTCCTCACAAGAAACATATGACCCTGGCAGTCCTCAGAACCTGAATCTGAAGGGGATGTGGGGGCAGTTGGGGCTCTGCATGTGTGTGTGTGTGTGTGTGTGTGTGTGTGTGTGTGTCTGTGTGTCTGTGTGTGTCTGTGTGTCTGTGTCTGTCTGTCTCTCTGGAGAGGTTCATGGTTTGCACTGAGGCGTCATCCTGGCTCAGAGGCCTGCCCTTGGAGTTGGGGTTACTGGGGTTGAAGCAGCAGGACTTTCTTGTATGTCGAGCCTGCTTCAGATTTACTAAGGACAAAGATGAACTGAGATGAATGAGGTATCTGACAGGGTTGAGAAGAGGAGGTTGGCTTGGATGAAAGATCTAGGCACTGTCCTGGCTGACCAGAGGAGGCATTGCTTTTAAGCCTTTGCCAGTAAGGGACCACCAGTAAATATACCCTCTCTACCCTCCACAACTGGGGTGATGGGGGGAGGTGCTCCCTCTCCCCTGGAAGGCTGTGGGCATGAGCACTGGCTCCCAGATTGAATGGTATAGAGTCGAGCATGAGGAACTTCTGACATATTCCAGCTACTCCCTCGCTGTGTGTTCCTGGCTAAGTGAGTGTCCTTTCTATCTGGCTAGCTTGGGAGACCCACCCCCCTCATGGTGAGGTGTGTGTGAAGTAAAGGAAGTAGAACTGCTGCGTGGTATTCAAGTACATAGTATTAGAGGGTGTGCCCTTGAACTTCTCGGGGGGGAAAACCGAATTCCATTTTATCAGGAGGAGAAAAGCTTGTGACTACCCTGGGTTATCTCCTGAATGCTCCAGTCCCAATCCAACTGATCATGTCTCCCCATAGGTACTGTCAGCCCAGGGCCATCTCATTTCAAACAGCCATGTTGTGGAGGGGTACACAGCGAGTGCCCCAGCACATGTTGCCCTGTCCTAGCTCTTTGAGATAAACTCTTAAAAGAGTTTTGACTCCTTCCAGGGCACACAGACTTCCAGCGTTTGCCTTGGCAGGCATGTGGCCCTTCCTCTGCTGGGAAGGATCCTGAGAGAGAGAGCCCAAGTCCCAGCTCTACCCGCCCACCAGGGCCCTCTGCTTCTTGTTCACCTGCTGCACCTCCCTGTGGGAAGAAAGTATTTTGATTTCTGAAGGGGCCTTGCCTGGTGTCTAGAGGGTCCTCAGAGTCCTTGGCGATGAGAAGAGAGAATGTTTCAGAAACTGCCCAAGCAGAGGTGAGGGGATGCTTAGTTAGCATTTGCATTATGGCCTTGGTAACCAAAATACCTGTTGAAATCACAGGGGAGAAGGTACCTCTGGGAGCCAGTGTACTTTTTTTTTTTTGAGACCTCATGCTCAAGAAAGGGTTCAAAGAAACCAGGAATTACAGGCTAGATTTTAGAACAGAGACCAGGAGTGGGTAATTATTAAGGAGGCCAGGGGAGTGACATGGTGGAAGCTGGGCGAGGGAGCTGGTCATGTCCAGCCTCTCTGGGCCCTGTGAAGGAATGAAGGTCATGGACAAGGACAGTGGGTGAACTGTGGTGCAACCCCAGCTAGGTACTCTTCCAAAGGCTGCTCCAAAGTTGGGGTCACATGGAATGAAGGGATTGGTCTGGCCTGGAAGGAAATTGGCTTGGAGACAAGAGAGTGGGGCACACAGGCCTGCTGGTAGAAGACTCTCGGGATCTTCCTCCTTAATGGCTTTATGGTAAAGGAAGGGTGAGAGCAAAGCTGCTGAGGTGAGAGGACAGATTTCCTCTACAGTGTAAATGCTAAGCCAAGTGGCTGGCACAAGGCTGTAATTGGTGCCCAGGAATGTCATGTGAGTTCTCTCATGGCCAGGGTAAAGTACCTTGCTTAAAGGAAGAGGCTGAACCAGGATGAATGAAGAGCTGAGCTTGTGACCAGAAGTGACTCCTGGCAATCAGAACTCAGAGGGATGCAGGGGTCACTAACAAGTATCTCCATGGGACTACTTGGTGACTATACTTCAAGATGGGTGGTACTGAGCAAGGCCAGAGATGGATTGATGGGACAGGAAGGAGTGGCTGGATAGGCAGGGTCACTCACTAAGGTGTGGAGGGCTGTCTGCTCTGAAGGGAAAAATCCTGGCCCCAATCTCCAACTGACTCAGACACTACCTGTTCAGATGTATTTCCATGTCATCAGGGCTCATGTGCTAATGGGAGAACACCAGGCAGGACAACACCCATGGGAAGATCATGGGACACCATCATAGCCTGCTCATGGTCTCCTGGTGGCCTCTGCCTACTGCTAGAGGCCCCCCAGTGGAAGAGCTCCTGCTGTACACAGGCCCTCTTCTGCCCAGGGGTGGGAAGTGGCTGCCGGTTGTTCTAATTTGAGATGGGGATATAGGCCCTCTATAAAGCATCAAGAGGTAAGGCCTGCTTTTCTCATTGATGAAGTTGAAGGCTAGCTGGGAAAATATACATCTTGTCTATGTTGGGAGACCAGAGCTAGGGCTTCCCTGCACTTTGGGAAGGTCTGAATGGAGGCAGGTGGGAAATATGAAGGGAATCCCTAGGGGATCTGAGGCCATAGAGGGGTCCAAGAAAGAGCTAGACAGAGCCAGAGATGAGGGGCCTCAGAGGTGGTTGTATGGGAAAGATGTCCTTGGGAGGAGGGAGGCGAAGAGGAAGTCAGAGTTCCAGGCTGCCCCTCAGATAAGAAAAGGACACAAAGTTTAGACTAGCTCTTTTGCTGGCAAGATATGTATGCCCCTCCATTTTCTACTTGAGATCTGGAGATCAGAAGCCTTGTTTCTTCTAGGAAGGGTTCGAGACTTCAGGGTACTCCACCCTCTGGGAGAAGAGTTTATAAGGCCACTGATACCCTCAGGTATGCAAAGGAGGGAAGGGGGAGATTCCAAAGTGCTGTGGTCTCCTTGGTGGTCTTCCACTTTTGACAGTGATCCCTGACCTGTAGTGACTATTTGGCTCATCTGTCCCCTTTGGCCATGACCCCTATGACAGCCAGGAAACCTCACAGGATATGATCCCACTTGTAGTTGGGTCCCTACAGTCACTGTGATTCTTGAGGGACTTCTATACATTGACCCATGGTCATCTTTTGACTGACTGACTGATTGTAAGACTGTGACCTTGTGTCAAACTCTGACCCTTTCTCTTGTGGGCTAGGACCCTAGATTGATGGCTACTCTGTGCCTCTCTTGCTGATTGCATCCCCCTTTGGCCTCTAGGATGCTGTGGGGATTGGTTTCTAGAATACTAGATATTTTGGCTTCTAGAAACTTCTTGACTCTGGTGACTCTTTGACTGACTCAGATCTATTGACCACATATGACCCTAATGACTCCCTGCTGGTAATAACCCCTGACCCCAGCTAACCACATGACTACTTGTGATCTTTTGACCAATGAGACTCTCTTAAATGGCCATGGCCCTTCAGCCCCCTGGGCCTCACAGTGACCCCCTACCCCCCATGTTCTCTGGTACCCCGGCCCCTGCCCGCCTGCCCGCCCGGGAGCTGGCGTTGGTGGTGCCAGTGGAGGCGGTAAGGAGTCACACTCACGCCCAGCTGCAGCAGGAGGAAGGCTGGTCGGAGAGGAAAGAGCATTGGACAACGACACGCGACTAGGGCTAGAGAGACTGGCTACGTCCTGGCTCTGGCTGGTGACGGAGGACTGTCTCCGCAGGGCCCCCTGGAAGGAGGCCCCGCTCTTGAAAGTATTGACTACTTCAATCTGCAACGGAGGAGAGAATGAGACAAGTTGCGAGAAGAAACGAACACCACAGCTACATGACTGATGGGCGCAACGTCACAGAACAGCTGCAGCCACCGCGACAAGGACAACACCACTTAAAATGAAAATACCAGACACACTCCAAGGCTCACAAAGATGTCTGCTCAGCTCTGGGCCTGTCTGTAGGCCCCAGGGTTCCCAGTAGGGGTCAGGGTTGGGTGACACAAGGTCTGGCCTCTTCCCTCAATGGTGGCTCAGGGGCCAGTGGGCCACTGGGATAGAAGTGGTGTCAGGAGGGAAGGGTGGTGCCCAGCATAAAGCCTGACTGGTGTGGTGGAACCTTGGGGTAGACAAACCTTGGGCCAAATTCTAGCTCTTGTTATTTACTAGTTAGGTGACCTTGGACAAGTCCCGTCTCTTATCCTCAAGAAAGTACAATGAGATCTAGTTGGTAGAAGTGTATATAAGCAGCAAAGCACTAGGCCCACAACAGTGCTGGGGGTGGCAGGCCTAGAGGCACTCACATCCACCCGGGAGTACCACAGTCCTCATTTCCTTCTGTGATGTGAGGCCTATGGGGCAGTGCCACCTGCCCAGCCCTCCCAGGAAGCAGGGCTGCCAAGGTTCTGGCCAGAGCAGGATATCCCAGGCCTGTGTGAGACTTCTGTAGCCCCCTCCCCTGACTCAGCCTGAACAGGGAAGTCATATCCACCACTCAGGGGCTGTGAGGGACAAACGAGGCCCTGTGGAGTATGAGGCACCCCAGGGGAACTGTTTGTTATAGCCCATGGAAACAAAGTGTCTGGCCCATACCCAGACTGAGGTAAAGTGGCAGGCTCTTCATGTCATCCAGGATGCTGGGATGAGGGACTGAAGGTGATACTATGTAGGGGTCTTTCTGGGCCTTTCTTAGTTTCCTATAGAATGTTCATAAACCACACCTGCCCCAAGCATGGCAGCTTTTCCAGCATAGGATGCACACATGCACGTGTGTGTGTGCGTGTGCGCATGTGCGTGCATGGCCATGTACCTCTGTTTTGGGGGAAGAAAGCTGCTTCTGGCTCAGTAGGCACCATGCACATACACTTTCATGTGTGAGCTTGGCGTGTGTGTGTACCTGTGCACATGGGGGTTTAGACCTTTGCTCCTCCATACCTGGCAGAGTCAGGGGCAGCATTTGGAACCCCTCATGGAGACAAAGAGTGTGCACTCATCTGTAAAGGTGTCTATAGCTCCCTGAGGGCTCGCCAATCTTGGCTGCTCCTCCTGGTGGCCACCCCGGCCACCATAGACCCCTCACTCACCTCAGCCCTCATAGTCACCCCCATCCTCTCAGGGGCTCTCCTGGAAAACCATGGTGGGTGTGACTCTCAGGCCAACCCCTGGCTGGGCTGAGGTGATGGTCTTCCTGAGGCCACATTCTGCTTCAGTGGCAGAAGTGATGTGTGTATGTGGCTGGTGGGGTAGTGAGGACTGTTCTGAGGCCCTGTGGTGGGTATGGAAGTAGGGGTCACAGAGCTACCTGGGCTCCTAAAGCCACCTTCTCTCACATCAGAGTGTGAGGGTTCACTTGTGTACACTGGCCACATCCCCTGGTCAGTCTAGCCCCAGGAGCTCCCCGTACCTGCGTCTGAATTCGATTCAGGCCTCGGAACCACAGGATCTGGCCACGGCGCAGCTCCCGCTCTGCATGGTCTATCTCTTCCACGTCCTCATTTAGCTCCTCCTCAGGGATTTCCTCCTTCTGGGTGAGCCGGCCTGCCTCCTTCAGAAACTTGAGCCTGCTCGTGGGGATGGTGGCGATGACCTGCAAGGGATGTACCCGATGGAGGGTCAGGGCTGTGGCCTGTCCTTCTAATCCCTGATGCCTGCTCCCTCTTTTTCCTCTTTCCTGCTTCCCTCAAAATCAGCTCACTCCTCAGCTGCCCATTCCAACTCACTTGTTTCCTGTTTCTTACTAAATGGCATTTTAATACACTTACTCATTGGACTCAAGGGACACAGTGCAACATCTTGGCCTTGAGGAGTCACATGTAGCTTGGAATATTCCAGGCATTAATAGTTATGTGCCTGGGATAATCATGTACCCTGCTGAGCTTTGGGTTCCTATCTGTAAGGAACCTATCTCTGGGGTGGTTCTCAGTGTTCTAAGGACTCTAGCCAATGCCGTGTATATGGTGTATGGCGCCTGCTGTGGCTGGCCCTTGGGTCATTGGGCACTGGGTGCCTTGGGACAGCCAGTCCCGAACCTAAAGCAATGTGGGAGGGGGTACACTCTCATTCTTACTCTTCCCCACAGGGCTTGTTCCTGGGGCTGAGGCCTGGGAGTCAGACATCAGAGACCTCTTCTATCTGTGAATACAGACCATGTACTCAGCCTCAGGCTGTCTGGGAGTTCAAGGTCAGTACTGCCCACTGGCATCAACCTTAGTGCTCATTATTCTGTTTCCCTGGACACTGACCTGCTCTGTTGTTCAGATGCTCAGTGATAGGGAGGGCCTTGCTCCATATGGGCACTGGGTATGTGTCACAGCCAGGATCACTCCTGGCACTCTTCCCCTTCCCCTTCTGCAGGGACCCTTCTACCCGCCCCCCTCCACTGTCACACACCTGGCCCCAGACGAGCTCTCCCAAGCCAATGAAGATACACCACATCCACTGGTCCAGCTGCAGTGGAGAGCAGCTGAAGGGCTTCCCACCAAACTGCACGATCACTATCTGGAGGTCAGAGGGAGCGGAGGGACAGACACAGAGATGGACAGGCCATCAATGGCGAGCACAGATGGCTGTGGAGCTACCACCCTGCCTGGCCCAGTCCAGATTAGGGCAGGAGTCTGGATACCTGGATGGCAAATGTGCCCAGCACGATGGTGCAGAAGATAGGGTTCCGGAAGATGCCATCAAAGACGTTGCGCTCGCCGTGGATCTTGCGGGCATTAATCTCGTTGAAGAGTTGCATCATGACGAAGGTGTTGAAGATGATGGTATAGTGCTCAGAGGGTGGTGAGTGCAGAGGTGCATTCCTCCCACTGTCAATTTGGAACATCTTCTCACCTGCCAAGCCAGAAGGAGGGCCAGGGCTGAGGATGGGGTTTTCGGGGCTATGGCTGGACAGGGTGTGGCCTGTGGTGCCTGCTCAATGTGTGAATCCTTTTTCTAGGGGACAAACAGCTTGGGGCATGTCACCTGTGCCAGCTGTATGACAAGGTGACATTCCTTATGAAAGGTGACTGGACTGAGGGGACACTATGACTTAGATAAGTGTGCCCTAGAGAATCATATATTACAGGCCTGGTGCCAGGCTCTGGTGCTATTGGGAGCTGATCCCCCCCCCCCTTTTCTTAGTAGTTTTGAGACAGGTTCTCCCTGTAGTCCCAGGTGGCCTGCAACTTGCTATGTAGATAAGGCTGGTCTCAATCTCACAGAGATCTGCCTGCTTCTGCCTCCCTCCTGACTGCTGGGACTAAAGGTATGCACCATCACTCCTGGCTCTTTTTTAAAGATTTATTTATTTATTTATTTATTTATTTATTTATTTATTTAGTGTGTGTGTGTGTGTGTGTGTGTATACATTGCATCCCCTGGAATTTAAAAGTATCTTATTTTTTTATTTATTTATTTATTTATTTATTTATTTATTTATATTTATTTGAGAGAGAGAGAGAGAGAGAGAGAGAGAGAGAGAGAGAAAGCCCTGGTTATATGCATGGAGATCAGAGGACAACTTGCTAGAGTCAGTTCTCTCCTTCTACCACATGGGTTCCAGGGATTAAACTCAAGTTATTAGGCTTGGCAGTAAGCATCTTTACCTGATGTGCCATCTTGCCCCCCTCCTCTTTTGGAGATATTGGAGATAGGGTCTCATGTAGCCCAGGCTACCCTTGAACTAGCCATGTACCAAGCATGATTTTGAACTTCTGATTCTCTGTCTCTGGTTCCTGGAGTGCTGAGATTGCAGGCATATGCCACCATACTTTGTTTATTTAGTGACTGATATGGAACCCATATCATATCCATATCCTTAGCCCCAAGGGTGGCAGTGGAACCTTTAAGAGGTGGAGCCTAGTCGGAGGGTTTTAGGCCACTGAGGCGTGTCCTTGAAGGGCGCTGTGGGGCCCTGTTCCACACTCTGATTTCTGGTCATGAGGTGACCAGCTTTCCTTCACCATGTGCTCTTTGCCACCGGCCCCAAGCATGGGGTTATCTGATAAAGACCTTCAAAACTGTGAGCCAGAGTGACCCTTCTTGCTAAGTAAATTATCTCAGCAACTTCATGATGATCCTCTTCCTGTGGTAAGAAGAATGTGCTGGAAGGGATCAGGGAAGGGGCAGGTTGCTTCCTCCAGGGCCTCGGCTCCCAGGGCTTTCATCAGACACTGACTTGCATGGTGTGCTCACAGCACTGCAGCTGCTTTTAGTAGAAGAGCCCTGACTTTGAGGTGGGCCATCCTGAGATGGGGTAGCTCTGCTTCAGGCTCTCTGTTGTGACTTCGAGCAGCTTATGTGACCATTCCATGCCCCAGTTTACCCATGAGCAAAATAGGATGGTATGTGTAAATCTAGATGTTGGGAGTGGTAACCTGGCCACCTAGGGGTGTGTTTGGGTACTCACCCACAAACAGCAGGGTGAAGATGAGGGTGAGCTGGTAGACAGCATGGCCCAGGATGTTCTTCATCATGGTCCGTGAGATGAGTGGCTTGTTACGGCCGTAAGGTTTCCTCAAGAGCAGGGTTTCTGTGGGTGGCTCGGTGGCCAGAGCCAGGGATGCAAATGTGTCCATGATGAGGTTCACCCAGAGCATCTGTACGGCCTTCAGAGGGGAGTCCTGCAACAGCAGCAGAGAGAGGACTGTCATGGGGAACGAGCCACCTGTGCCACAGAGTGCAGGTAGGCACACTGCAGAGTCTATACAGGCTGCAAGTCATAGCTGCCTAGCTCTTGGTTTCCTGAGCAGGTATGCAGCAGGTTCTGGAAGCTTCTTTGAAGAATAACGTAGGCCTACAGGCTCAGTGGTCACAGTTCCCTGGCTTCTGGTAAACTTGGATACATATCTACCTACCTGTACCAATCTTCCCCTGCAGGCCTCTCCTGTTGTAGGTCAAGACCCACATCCTCCACCACCCTTCTCAGTGACTCCCCTGCCTGTAAATAATGCCCTTGACTCCCGTTCCTAATTTCACTTTGCCTCTCATTATCTTATGATAATCTGAAATATTTTTGTACCTGGGATCCCAAAACTAACAGCTTTCATGATAGGAAGTCTGTCAAGTTAAGGGAAACCAGAGGAAGCTAAGATGAGTGATGGCATGTCATGCTGATGTGGATGCTGTCATAGTCTCTGCTGTGCTTGGGCTTGACAGAGCATGCACTATGTATACTTACAGCCCACTGTCTACACTGCCTGAACGAGCTGATCCTCTTGTCCTTCCTTCCTCACACACACAGGCCTTGTCCACAGAAGCCAGGTCTCACCCCACCCAAATGCCCTTCTCTAAAGTCACCAGCAACTCCTGCCACACACCAAGGGGGTCCCTCCTTCAGCCTCACCATTCTTCAGCCTCTCCTGGCCCATCTCCTAGTCACCATCCTCCCTCTTGGAGGATACCTGTTCTCTCTCTTTTATATCTGCCTCCCTTCCTTGCCCTGCTCTTCTCTTCACACCTGTCACCTGGTGTCTGGGACTTACATCTCCCACATATGGCCTCCTTTGACCCAGATCCCTCCCATGACTCTGGCCTTGGCTGACTTGTGGCTGGTGGACCACCCCCTCTAGGAAGCCCACCTACTCTAAGATCAACAGCTAAAATTAACTGCTCCTTCCTGCCTGTCTCCTCTAGGTGTACTTCATCAGCCCCTCTGCCATGGTGGGCCTGCTCTCCTGGGTGTCCTCCTACCCTTCCACTCTCTCTCATTACAAGCACCTTGGAGCCAAGAGTGCAATTTTCCCACTAAAGCCTGCATGGCTTTGCTCAGGGACCTTGGGCCAACTGATCTTGTCTCAGAACCTGTTTCCCTGGCTTAAGTCCAGTCTTCAGGAGGCTGTTGGAGTGACTGCTGCCATGACAATACCCCAGATTGCCACTAGGGGGAGCATGTCACACACAGTCCAGGAGCGAGGCTCTAAGCAAAAGGGAACTACTCCCCATTCCGGTCTCAGGGCTAGGGTATCACAAGATCTAATCTGCAGTCACCATGGGCATCTCTGTGGTACAGTAGAGTCCTCTGTGCCTTGTGGCTCTTGGGGAGATCTATACACTGGCTTCTGGCTGCCCCTGTGGGTGGCAGTTCATCACCCAGGTAGCAGATGGGAGCAGTCAGGCCTCTGAGATCCCCCAGAACTGAAGGAGCTCCCCTTCATCAGACTAGAATTCCTAGGACAAACAGGCTGTCCATGGTGTCAGGAAACTTCAAGAACCAGGGTAGGGTCTGGAGAGATGGTTCATTGGTTAAGAGCACTGACTGCTCTTGCAGAGGATCTGGGTTCAATTCCTAGCACCCATATGATAGCTAATAGCCATCTGAAACTCCAGTTCCAGGGGAATCTGACACTCTTCTTTTGCCCTCTGCAGGCATTGTACAGCATGGGTGTACTTACACACATGCAGGCAATATGCTCATACACATAAAATGAAAATAATAAATAAAATATTAAAAAAAAGCAGGGCAGATGCCTGACCTGTCCTCTGTCCTCAGTTTCTGCTTCTTTTAAATGGTAATCCCTGGGCTAGAGAGACAACTCAGTGGTTGTCAAATGTTCTTTGCTCTTGTAGAGGACCCAAGTTAGGTTCCCAACACCCATGTGGGTTGACTCACAACCATCTGCAACTCCAGTTTCAGGAGATCTGACATCCTCTTTGGTCTCTGTGGACACCTGCACCTACACTTATGTGCATATCCACCCCTATACACATAATTAAAAATAAAATAAATCTTTTTTAAAAAAGGCAGTCACTCCAGTTTCTACCTGGTTCTACCTGGCTCAGCACACAGCCTGCTGAAGACCCAGTAATAGTGATCTGGATAGAAAGAACCCCACTACCTCCTTCACCCCCACCTCATCTGTGTTAGATAGTGTTAAGTTGTCAAGTTGATGCACCTGGGAAGAGGCAACCTCAATTGGGGCCTTTCTTCCAATGAATTGGCTTGTGGGCATGTCTGTGAGACATTTTCTTAATTGATGAGTGATGTGGGAGGGCCTGGCCCACTGTGAGTAATGCCACCCCTGGGCAGGTGGGTGGTCCTGGGTTGTGTAAGAAAGCAGGCTGAGCACAGGCCAGAGGAGCAAGTCAGTAAGCAGTGCTCCTCCATGGTCTCCACTTCAGTTCCTGCCTCCAGGTTCCTGCCTGCCTTGGCTTCCTTCAAGGATGAACTGTGATGCATAAGCCAAGTTGGTTTTGGTCAGATTCTTTTTTCACAGCAATAGAAAGCAAACCAGGACACCACCTCTCTTAATCCAGTCTTCTATGCTCCAGAACAAGGACTCCTTAGCTGACCATCCAGTTTCCCCTGGGCCTATACTGCCTCTGCCTTGGCTGGTGCAGGCAGGAAGATGGGCACAAAGTCAAACGCTTTCCACTTCTGGGGCCAGATGCAGTCCTGTTGTTGAGAGGCCCCACTGCCCTTTTGTTTCCTGTGTTGTAATCCTGACAACCTAGGAGGTCCTGGAGGTTGGGGTCTGCCCTCTCCCAGCCTAGGACCCACCTGCGTGATGCAGGCACCTGTGAAGGCCACTATCACTGCCACCACGTTGACAGTCAGCTGGAACTGCAGGAACTTGGAGATACTGTCGTAGACATTGCGGCCCCACATCACTGCCTTGACGATGCTGCTGAAGTTGTCATCTGTCAGGATGATATCTGAGGCCTCCTTGGCCACATCTGTGCCTGCAATACCCTGTGGGGGCAGTGACAGGAGCCTGGTGGGGCAGCCGGGGAAGTGAGTGGCTCTACACTTTTGTTCTCACCTCTATACAGCCTCAGCCCTGTGTACCCCACCCCTGACCCAAAGGGACCAGCACAGCTAGACTGCACAAGGACAGGCACGCATGCACACACACATGCACATACATACAGGTGCATGCACACACATACAAACAAGCACACACATACATGGGTGCGCACACAGCCAGCACCCTGAAGCCAATAGTCTCCCCTGGGAAGCCTGACCCTGCCCTTTCCTTCTTAACCTACACACACCTAGCAGGACGAGTGGTCCCCAGTAGGGCACTGCCCATACCTTCCAAAACATCTGGGACAGGGCTGGGGCTCAAGAGCTTTCCAAGCATACAAGATTGATGGAGGGTGAACTGAGTGTTAAATGGTGGGATCCCACAAGTCATTTGGAGGCTAAGTAGCCCAAGACCCCCTACCCTCACATTTGAGACCCTATCAGACACCACCCCAGGCCCCTGCAAGCGCACCTACCATTGCGAAGCCCACATCCGCCTTCTTGAGAGCAGGCCCGTCATTGGTCCCATCCCCTGTCACAGCCACCACCTGCCGCTGCTCAGTGTGTGTGCTGTCGATGATGCCTGGGGGTAAGAGGGTGTGCTCAGGGTCCTAAGCCTCAGCATGGCTTCCTGTCCTGCCTGCCCTGCCAGCTCCTCCCATCACTACTCTTCCCAGCATCCTTAGGGCTACCAGGTTCCTCTTTAGCTCTGTCTGTGCTGGCAGACAGCAGCAGCCTGAGGAGGTGGAATGGGCTCCCCAGCTTGGGACACCATCTCCTCTAGCACCCACTGAGCACCCCACTCAAGGCCCAGCTCTCAAGCCTAGTTCCTCAGGAGTTGTCCCAAAGGCTGACAGCCAGTTGGAGTCCCACTGCCCCAGGCTCAGCCTGCCTGGGCTCCTCTGCCTGGAGTTGGCAGGTCTTTGTCTCTACTTGCTCCTCAGCCAACACTGGCTCTTCCAAGGCAAAGGGCTCACCAGGCCATGTCTTACACCAGGGGCCTCCCTGTAGCTGCATCTCTGTCCTGTCTGTCCTGGCCTCTCAGTAACCTTTCCTACAGTAGACCACACTCTACCCCTCCTGCCTTCCTGGGCATTCCTTACTCCTGGGCATCCTCCTTTTCCAGCTGCATCCCTGGTCCCTGATGGTCTTATCTCTATCATCATTCTGGTGCATTCCATGGGTTCTGGGGCTTCCCTGCTCTCCCCCTGCATGCCCATCACCCCATGGGGCCACAGCACAGGCTCATACTCTCTTGACTCAATGGCTAGCAGTCCCAGACCGCTCTACCTGGACAGCTCGGCCAGCCCCACACTGAATGATTAGTTTCTCAATCTGTCCCTCCTCTGTGTTAACACTTGGCTGCCTGCTCAAAACCACAAGGTATGTGACTTGCACAGGGTCCCCAGACCCCTCCTTCCCACACCACATCCACATGCACCCTTCTTGGACTCATATTTCTTAGAACACTGGCTGCTGGTGACCTTTCAGCCTCCAGGCCACTCTTGCAAAGCCGGATAAACTTCCCAAACAGCCTGTGGCTGGCTGAATCACAGACCAGGCCTGCGTTGCACTATACTACCTGTCACATTCAGAAGATCCTGGTGACCTTTCAGCCTCCAGGCCACTGTTGCAAAGCCGGATAAACTTCCCAAACAGCCTGTGGCTGGCTGAATCACAGAACCCCTCACCTGCCCTGTGACTTCACACCCTCCCGAGCCCCAGCAAAAGGCCAGTGGCAGGTGCAGATTACGCTCTCCATTACCTAGGAGGCCTCTCTGTGCAGAGACATCATCTGATATCTGTTTGCACTGTGGACTCCACAGGGAAGAACCAGCTAGAACACATAGTAGTTTCTCAATAAATACTTTGTGAGAAGGTCAGGAGTGAGGAATGGGGGTGAGTTGGGGCACGCTGCTGCAATGTTTGTGGTCCTGGAATTCGGTGCTTCTAATCCCAGGACACATCTGCCTCTATCAGTGTTGGGTGAAGCCCCTTTAAGACAGAGGTCTAAGATGCTCAGGGGTGATCCAAGGAAGGAGCAAGAACCCCATCCTCTGCCTATTTTACAGATGGAACAACTGAGATTCAGAGTGGATAGGTTCGCCAAGGCCTCTATGCAGGGCAGTGGCAGAAATAGGATGAAACTTCAGTCTGCAGTTCCAGAAATACTTATTGGTCTCTGCCTAGGCTTTTCAAGGGGCAACCTCTCACTGGAGGGATGGGAAGGGAAAGGGATTCTAGCTTTTTCTGTTTCCAGGACTTCTGGGTATCTGGTCTCCAGGATTGAATGGGCACTTCAGACCAAGCTGACTAAGGTTCTCAAATTCATGAGCTCTGGGGCCAGACTGAGGAGGAAAGTGGGCTACCTTTCAGACAGGGAACAGTAAAGACCTGCAGCCATGAAAGAGTAAGGTCCGTAGGAGGTTCCTGAAGCTCTACATAACAAAGGCATTATGCCGAGCCAGGAGCACAGAACACTCCTGTAAATCTGTCTGTCCTCCAGCCATCAATCAGACCCCAGGCCCAGGCCCACTGCTACCTAGAGAAGTTGAAGGTCTGGGAGAATCTTTCTCCCCATGACCCCTGGGCCCTCTGCGGGCTCCCAAGGGTCAGAAGGGACAATGTCAGAGGGTTCCTAGGTGAGAAGAATCCCTGGTGGGCCCCCTTCCCTCCTGTGGAGAGGCCACAATGCCAGGCATGGTGGGCCTGGCTCAGGCCTCACTGCTACTGCCACTCCAGTCTTACCTTTGACCAGGGTGTGCTTGTCCGTAGGCGAAGAGCGAGCCAGCACCCTCAGCTTTGGCCAGATCTTGTCAATCCGCTCCTGCTCAATCTGGAGAGAAGTGCAGGGTGTTGGGTGTCACAAAAGCAACAGATCCATGCAGACTCATTGGGCTTTTAGGGCACACAGGCTGGTTTCTGTTTTAGTATGCAAGGCCTGCGCCTCCCAGCTCCCACTCAGGCTTGGCCCTCCACAGACCCTTTGCTGTGGCAGCATGCCTACCTCCCCTTTCTCATTGCGGATCCTCCGGTTGAACTCTTTGCCCTCCAGGCACAGGAAGTCCTCCCCTGGGTGGATGATGCCACACTTGATGGCAATTGCTCTGGCTGTATTGATATTGTCCCCGGTGACCATGCGGACTGTGATGCCTGCCCGTTGGCATTTGCGGATGGCTTCTGGAACCTGTGAGGGAGGTCAAGAGTCATGGGGGGAGGATACCACTTGGGCTGGTATGTCCCGTCTTCAAGGATCCCAGGGCGAGCTCTTCTCCCAGGCAGCCTCATTGATAGGGAACTAGATAACGAACCAGGAGATTATGATGGTGCCAGTGGTTTCCTTTCTATGCCTATGGTAGGCATTACCAATTGATCACAGCATCTGATGATTAAATATGATAGGGTCTCAAAATTGTTTTCAGCAGCCACCACCTACTGAGCACATACTCTATCCTGAGATGAAACCTGTGACTACTCTGATGGCTAGAGTGCTGAATTAACTACACTTGAACTTGTGTGGGTTTCATCTACATACTCCATAACCAACTCCCTTGTGTGTTTTCAGGTTTTTTTTTTTCTTTTGAGGGTGGTAGCATCATGTGCATTTGGGGGCATTTTATTTGCAGAATGTGACATTGGTTTAGAATAAATAAAAATGGTGATGCTCCAGATCCATGTTCAACAGGACTTGCCGTTGAGATAGGAAGTGGCTGGTTTTCTCTGATCCCACCCCTTCCAGCAGTGTCTTCACACAGAGCAATTGGCATGTGGAACCTGGCTGGGAGCTGATGCCATCTTCACACATGACACAGATCACCCGAACAAGTGACTCTGACCCATGGCAGTGACAGACAGACAGACAGAATTGGTTGATACTTGCTGAAAAATGTCTTTGGGTGAGAGAGCCCAAAGAAAGAATTTCAGGCCTGAGAGGTGATCTTGACACCGCACTCTTGCACACTCTGGTGACTGGGAGTTCACTCCCACACCCACCCCGCCAAGCCACTGGAAAGAGTCTCAACTATCCCCCCCGCCCCCACCAACCTCATCAGGAGAAAGTGTTTCTGGGGAGATCAAGGGATGAGGACATAAGGTGTGCCCCTGTTCAGTGTGAGTGGTGTTCTCATGAAGGGGGAGATTAGGACACAGATGTGCACGTGAGGATGGAGGTGAGGGATGCTGGGTAAACTACAACCCCAGAATGACACCAATAGCCAGGGTCATAATCCAAATGTGAAATGTTCCCAGGCTGGTATGTTTGAACACCTGGTCTAGTTGGTGGCACTGTGTTGGGAGGTTGTGGAACCTTTAAGAAGTGGTGCTGGTAAGGATAGGTCACTAACAGTGGGTCTTTGAGGGTTGAAGCATGGCTTTGGTTCCAGTTCTGCCCTGTTTCCTAGTTTGCTGGACTCTTCTGCCACCATGAATGCCCTGGGGGCCACCTTACCCTGATGAACTGAAATCTCTCTGAAACTGTGAGCTAAAACAACTCTTTCTCCCCTTAAGTTGTTTCTGTCAGGTTATTTTGTCATAGAGAGGAGAAAAGTGCCTTCTACAGTGAGCCACTAGAGGCCACAAGAAAGGCCTGGAACAGACTCTCCCTCTAGCATTCTGGGAGGACCAGCCCTGCCCAAACCTTGATTCTGGGTGGATTTTCAGCATCCAGACCCTCAAGACAAACATCTACCACTGGCGCACTCAGATTTTGGTAGATGTACCTTCCACTGATGGCAGCTTTCAGCCACAGTAAACCTAACAGTTTGAATGCATTCAAATTTAACCTTAGTACAGAGTATCCTGTGGACAACAGGTTGTTTTCCTGTCATTGAGGGGCTCAGTGGGTGCTGCTCTGCTCAGCATTGACAGAGTGCGTGCACAATATCACTAGCCTGTAAAAAAGACTGAGTCAAAATTCAAGGCACAGTTTCTATGAGATGTGCCTTGCTTTTGGGTGCTCATGAAGTCAGAAAACCCCAGATCAATTCATCTCATGGTAGGAAATGTCTATAGTTTGTTAGGGTAGGGATAGCAAACTATGGAAGCCTAAAAGTTTGGTTCACAACTGGAGTGTGGGCAACTTCTTGGATCAACTCTCCTGTCCCAGAAATTTCAAGAACAGAGATGAACCTTGAAATGTCCCACCTGTGTCCCCCAGGACCAAAGTCCATGACCTGGTTTGCATAATTTATTACCTCATTATGGCTGTGAGTTGCCTTCTGACCCAAAGGGCAGGGTAGGGCTGTTGTTCTGGGAACCCCCACCTTGTCTGATCCCATCTCCACTGAATAGATTCAGGTTGTGTTTGTTTCCAAGGTCCTAGAATTGGAAGGGACTTTGCATCATCTGCCTTTGGTCCTCTGTTAATTGTCTAGATCTGCCTCAGATATCCAAGCAGATGGGCACTGTCTCTACTTGCACATCCCTGGTGATGGGGTGCTTCCTTCCTCTGAGGTCCACTGCTCCACAGTAGAACAAGTCTAACTTATTCTTTCCTATAACCTCTCTTTTTCCCAGATAAGAGTGTTACTTGCCAGGCTTGGTGGCATGAGCTTTTAATCCCAGCACTTGGGAGGCAGAGAGAGGCATATGAGTTCGAGGCCAGCCTGGTCTCCATAGCGAATCTAGGCCAGTTGTGGCTACAGGGAAACTCTGTCTCAAAAAGACAAAAAAAAAAAAAAAGTGTTACTCTGTATAAGACTTGCTCTTTCCTGTAGAGATGGGGTCTTTCAAAGACATGGTCTTTAGCACAGACTGAGGCTCTGGAAGTACAGGGGAGGGTGGGTGAAGGAGAAACCATAGAAGGGTTCTTGGAGGCAGGGATGTTTGAGCCAGTTCTGTCCTGTCAAAATCAACTGAGGCTCTGGTGTGTGGGCATGCAGATAAACACACAGTGGTTCTGTTCACAAAAGGGATCTCAAGCTACACAGACAGAGAAGGTTCCAGGTGTGAGAGGCCTGGTGTAGTGCTGTAGGCCACTGGGAGGAGCTGAGCTGAGGTGAGGGATGGAGATGGTGGCTGGGAAGCTTCAGGAGCCTGACTTTAGACAGCAGGGAAGCCAGTTCCTGCAAGCACGGGGGTGGGGGGTGGGGGTGGCACAGCAAGTCCTGGATTAGGAAGGAGGTGATTGGTAGTTTAGTCTAGGACTCAGGCTTGGAAGACTGTCTCACCAGCCCAACCTGGCCACCCTCTAGGCTTTGCCAAACAGGTTGGTTCTAAAGAAGAACAAGGCTCCTAGGTTCTTTCTACGCTTTTCTCTGATAAATGTAATCGGGGGTTTTTACCAGTCCCCAAATAGACAGCCTCTGTGGTAGTTTAGATCTGGAATATTCCCTAAGGCCTGTGTATCGAAGGCTTGGCCTCAAGGTGGTGCTGTTGGAGGGGTGGAACCTTTAAGAGGTGGGGTTTTAGGTTATCTGTGTGGTGTCTTTGGAAGGCCCGGGGCTCTTTCTGTCTTTTGCCTCTCAACTCTGACATGAAATGTGTGATTCTGTTGTGTGCTCCTACGATCACATGTTGCCTCATCATAGACCCAAAAGCAGTAGGGCCCACTCACCACACACTGAAACTTCTGAAGCTGTGAGACAAACTGGACCTTTCTCTTTATAAAGTGTTTATGTTGGGTATTTTGTTTTAGCAATGGAAAGCTGTGTGTTCCCATTTCCTTGCCTTTGCCCTCTGCTGCCTGGACAGCCCTCCCTCCCTTAGCCTCTATCTGCCAGTTATTACCTGCCTTCATGGCCTCTACACATCTGGACCCCTCCAACTCAGAGGGATATTTCCTTAAAATACCCTCAGGACTTTCTTTGACCACTCACTTATTCACTCAACAAACAGCTATAGACCATCTAATTGCTCTGAGCTCTGAGGATCACGATGATTAAGGCTCAAATCTCAGGGGGCATGGGTCTGGTTGAAATATGTTTTCCATATGAACAAACCATTGCTAAGTATTTTTAAAAAGTGGCTTCTTCTAAAATTATCCTAGATAGTTTTCACTGAGGAAAACTAGCCAGGAAATGAGCTCTTCTTGTTTTCATAACATAGAGGCTTTTAAACATCTACTGTTTGTGGCGAGGGCTCTGAACACCCCCGGGATCACCCCAAGTAAGCCGCAGGCCGATGCTCTCCTGACAGCTCCCTCCTTGCTAGCTTTAGGAATGTCTTGGGTGGGGACTTTGGTGAGTATTTGAACCTGCTCTGGCCTGTGGTGGGCCTGAGGGAGGAAGGTGGTATGACAGTGGGGAAACTGAGGTAGGCAGAGAGTGTTTACCTGTAGCTGCAGAGCGAGCCTGGGTCAGTCTGGGGGCCTGCCGGCAGAGCCCCCTCTGCCTGGGCCTCACTAGGCTGGTGCCCCAAGCAGGGAGCTCACTAGGAGACACCAGGCAGGTAACCAGAATGCTGAGTAAGGGGATGGCCATGAAGACAGAGCTAGGAAAGTTTCCTGAACCAGCTGCTAAGGCAGGGATGCTGCTGGAAGAAGTATTGATAGCAGCTGACCACGAAGTGGGAACCAGAGCTTGAACATAGTGGGTGGTTGCCTGTGAGTTGGGAATTAGGGTCTGAGTGTTGTTGGGCGTGGGAGGCTGACTGTGAGGCAGAAACTGGGGTCTGGGCATGGTGAGTTCTGCTGTTAGGAAACTAGAGCCAGGGGGTAGTGAGGAGTGCTTGTGGGTTGGGAACTGGGGCCTTGGGGAACTGCCTGTGAGATAACAGGGCTGGGTATAGTGGGGGATTGCCTGTGAGTTGAGAACTGGGGTCTGCCTGTGAATTGGGAACCAGGGCCTGGGTGTGGTAGGCTGTTCATGCTGTGCTTTTCCACAGTTTGCATTTGGTTCTTAGGTACCTATAGCCTGTCCTAAATGCTAACAGATAAGAAACTGAACCCTCCAGTCTCAGAGAAGCTGAATCAACTGAGAGGCTGAGTTTTATACTTTCAAATAGAGCTCGTTGGCCTGGGGGTGAAGCTGGGTGGTAGAACACTTGTCTAGACTGCATGAGGTCCTAGGTTCAACTCCCTTCTCATTTCTTAGTCAGGAAACAGAGAAGACATGTACTTGAGGCCACCTGAGGTTGTTTATATTGTTAATTTGACAGAATTTAGAATCACCTAGGAGACAGCACTCTTGCCATGTCTGTGAGGGACTTTGCAGATAGGTTATCTGAAGAAGGAAGAGCTACCCTGGGTTGGGGACCGTTCCCTGGGTTGGGGTCCTAGACTAAATGATGAAGAGAAAGTGAGCTGAGCATCAGTATTCATCTCTCTCTGCTTCCTGACTGCAGATGCAGTGTGACCAGCTGCCTCCATGCCCCATGGCTTCCCTGCCAAAATATGACCCAAAGTAAACCCGTCCTTAGTTGATTCTGTCAGGTATTCTGTCTCAGCAAGGAGGAAAGTAACTAATTCACTACCTGTGAGAGAGAAACCTCAGAGGCAGATTCAAGGCCCTGTCCCGACCCTGTTCTGTCGTTAAAGGAACTCATAGCTCTTGATTGCAGCTCTCATTTTTTTTTAAAGAAATAATAATAATAAAATTATTGTAGAGTTCAGAGAACAATTTGTGGAGTTGGTTTTCTCTTTCTACCTTTATGTGAGTTCTGGAGACTAAATTTAAATCATCAGGCTTACACAGCAAACACTTTTACACACTGAGCCATCTTGCCAGCACTGCAGCTTGGGATTCTAATATATATCCCAGTGAGCCAAGGGCCAGATGGGATGGTTGCCAGGATGACTGAAGGATGATGGGCAGGATGGCAGACTGGCAGAAGGCCTGGTGGGTGTGGGTGTGGTTGTGGGGCTTCTAGCAGCTGCTTCTGGTCTGAGGGTATGATGTCAGATCCTGGAAGAAACCCAGGGGCCTGGGTTGACTCGCATTCTGTAGATAGAAGACTAAGGCCCAGACAGAGAAAGGTTTGTTGGGGGCAACGTTGGGGCTTGTGTCCAACCTCTCCCCCTTAGCTGGGGTCTGCATCTAAAGCGAGAACTCTGGATGGCTATGCCACCTTCAAAAAATAGGGCCCAGCCCTGCTCTGAGGTCCTGGGCATGGGGCTTTCCTCCTCCAATCTGCTTTCTTTGATGCACAGGAAGGCACAATACCAGGTCTACTGTGCATCTACTCAACCGCTTATAGTGAGACTTTGGGACCATTGTAATCTCTCATGGCTCACTGTACAAACTGGGGGAGGCAGGGGAGGGTCTGGATGAGACTGAAGTTTGAACCTGTAGTCACTGGTGCCACTATGACGTCAGTTCAGAGGGTTGTGATTAGTGCTCAAAATGGAAGAGAGTGGAAGGTACTGGGCAGCCCTGACTTCCCGGGATTCTCAGTTGGTTAAGTGTGTCTCAGAGTCATGAGGGCGGGTCTCAGTAAAAGTCCTAAGAAACTCATGCTGCTTCATCTCGCCCTAGAAGGATGTTTCCAAGACTGGTGGGGGCAGGGTCAGCCTGGAGCTGGGGGCAGGCCAGGGGAGTTTTAGGGCATGGGCACTGGGCAAGCCTTTGCCACCTGTGCCCAGTGGTTTTCTTCCAGGAGATAACACAGCGCCGTGAGCCTGAGCCCATTAACTATGGTGATGAACAGCTGCCCCAGGAAGTGGGTAATCATCTGTCCCAGGAGAGCTGTGGCCTGCAGGGAACCAGAGACACCCTGGTGCTGCTTTCAAGTGCAGACTGTCTTTGGCTTTGTGGAGGATCCAGGTTGGGGTGGGAGGCTACAGTGCCACCCACTGGATGTGTGGTGGGGGAATGGGGATGAGCCCCAGCACAGTGCTGGAGGGTTGGGATCAAGTGCATTCACTTTCTTTCATCCCACAGGCTCCACACATTTTGAAGGCTGGGCTGTTGCCAGTATAAGATCCTGGGAATGAATGGCCTAGGGAGGCCATGAAGGAAAATAGGGATCCTCATGTGGCCTTCTGATGCTGGGCTTGTTGCTTATATGTATGTGGTCTCACCCCCTGACACTATCCCACGGGCATATGTGGGCATGGGAGAGGGTGTTATTATCTGCATGCTACAGATATGGCTCATAGAGGTTACAGAACTGGCCCAATGTCACAGAGTCATCAATATTAATACAAGGGAACCCAGGTCTATATGTTGCCTGCCCACCTGTCCCCAGTTTCACAGTCATGGGGCCTGAGGGGATAGGGGATGCTTGGCCTGCTAACAGCAGTATCATCTTTCAATGAAGCCTAACTCCTGTCTGGACAGCCATGGACCACACAGCCCTTCCTCCACGACCTTGCCAGGCCCCACACTAACTCCTTGGCCTTTTCTCTGAATCTAGATTTAGTTAACAGAGCCTGAAGACAGACTGTGCACCCAGCACCCCATGAGGAACACTCCACATGGCACTTTCATCCTTGTCACTTGGGTGAAATCACCTCCCCTTCTGCTGGGACTGTGACCTGTGTGATTAACTTGGGAGCCTTGTCTCCCAAAACTCACTGAAGGCAGACTGCAGCTGTATTAGCAGGCTGGCCAGGGGATAGTATGGCTAAGTTGCCTCTGGACAAGGAGAAGTGGCAACGCCCATAGAACATGGGCTTTGGGTTCTGAGGGTGATGTTCTGTCCACCCAGTTGCAGTTGAGACCCAGAATCCATGATAATAGCTGAATCCTTTGGGGGTGAAGGTTTCTAAGGCCAGACAAACCTCACATCTGTCCTCTGGGAGATGGGAGGAACAAATTCCTGGTGGCTACCCCAACCTAAAGCAATGAATGCCAAGTATGCCCACTCTGGTCTTCAACTATGAATGCTTGAGAACAGGTATAAAAGTCCCTGTATATTCCATGGGGAGTCAAAGCTCAGAGCTGAGGGCAGGTGTTCCCAGGTCCCTCTGCAGGCTGGACTCTGACCTTGCCCCAATTCTGAGCTGGCTGACCTCAGGGCCTACCTACCTCAGGCCGCACTGGGTCTTCAATGCCCACCACGCAGATGCATGTGAGGTCATTAAGGATGTCGTTTTCATTGTCCCAGTCAGGCTCAGGGCTGCTGGGGAAGTCTCGGTAGGCCACACAGATGGTACGGAGCCCGTCGCAGGCCATAGGCTCAATCACCTTCTTCACCATCTCATCCCGGTCACGGGGTCGGAAGATGCGGGGCTCGCCTGCCTCACTGAGGATCTTACAGCATCTGAGGGGAAGCAGATGAATGAGGTCCATCGAGGGCCCACTCCACCTCCTGGGATGCCTAGATGGATACCTTGGCCATTGGGTGCCCACCTGATCCACCTCCCATAATGCCTCAGTACATGCAACAGGCCCCAGGTCATAGGCAGGGGTGAGACCAGGTGACCTTGCACTATCTGCCTCATGTTCCTCAGCTGTCATTATATGCAGTAGTAATAAGGTTCCAAATGGAAAACACAGCACCAGAGCTGAGATGGCTTGCAAAGCCATAAAGCTAGACTAATGGCTCTCCACCCCACAAGAGTATCAGGATCCTGAGGGGCATTTACTAACACCAAGGTGTGGGCCTGCCTTCATGGTTCTAATCCAAGGGGTCTGACAAGAATCAATGTTTATTTTTCTTTTTTAAAAATCATTTATTTTTATTTCATGTGTATGAGTATTTTGCCTGCATATATATAGTGTACCATGTCATGCAATGCCTGAGGAGGCCAGAAGAGGGCTTTGGATCCTCTGGAACTGGAGTTAAGGATGGTTGTTAGCTGCTACGTGGATGCTGGGAACTGAACCCTGGTCCTCTGCAAGAGTAGCCAGTGCTCT